AACTTGGGTCCTCTTGGAAGAACAGTGAGTACTCTTAACCACTGATCCAGTCCTCCAGCCCTGGTTTGCCCTCTCCTCCCCTCCCCCTCCTTCTCCCCTCCCCTCCCTCTGTGTGTGTGTGTGTGTGTGTGTGTGTGTGTGTGTGTGCGTGCGCGCATGTGTGTGTGTGTGTGACTGTCCTGAAACTAGCTCTATATACTAGGCTGGCCTTGAACTCAGAGATTCTCTTGCCTCTGCCTCCTGAGTGTTGGGATTAAAGTTGTGTAACAGCACTGCCTGGTTTATATTTCTTAATAAAATGGAAAAAAAAAACCAGAATTTTGATCAGCTTGATTGTCCTTTCATGGATTTTCTTAAAATGCTTACTTTATAAATTTACTTGTCTGTTTAAAACCACATACTATAAAGTTTATTATATTAAAATAGAGCTTTATTCCCATACATTTTAAGGAACAATTTTTTGATTTTGTGTTTTGCTTGCATGTATGCATATGTTTATTATGCATGTCTGGTGCTAATGGAGCTCAGAAGAGGGTGTTGGATCCTCTGGAATGCAGTTACTGTTGGCTGTGAACCACTGTGTGGGTGCTGGGAACTGAACCTACGTCCTCTGCACGATCACCAAGTGCTCTTAATTTGCTGAGCATGTCTCTGGTTCCACAAGAAATAATTTTCAAGTTCCTGTGTAGTCAATGTTACTGTCAGCAGAGGTTATGTTTGTTCTTGTTTGGCTGGTTGGTTTCTTTTTTTTTTTTTTTTTTTTTTTTTTTTTTTTTTTCCATTTATAGTATGTGTGTGGTGGCTGGGTGGTTTCTTTCTTTTTTTTTTTCCATTTATAGTATGTGTATGGGTGCTTTGCTGGCATGTATGTCTAGGCTCTACATGTATGCCTGGTGCTCTACATGCATGTCTGTGCTCTACATGTCTGCCTGGTGCTGGCAGAGACCAGAGGAGGCCATCAGATAATTTGGAACTGGTGTTACAGATGGTTGCTAGCCGCCATATGGTTGCTAGGGATTGAACTGGGTCCTCTAGAAGAGCAGTCAGTGCTGGCTTCAGTAGACAAGCCATCTCTCTAAGCCCAGTCTTTCTTGTTTAGTTCTTTAAGTCATGGTCTTTCTATATGTATTGTCTAGGTTGACCTCAACGCCTAGGTTTAAGTTATCATTGTGTCTCAGTCTCCAAGTTAGTGGGGTTCTACCTAACATTTGAAAGGCAAAGACAGGACAATCAGGAGTTTGAGGCCAGCTTGAGCTACATGAGACCCTCTCTCAAAAAGAGAAAACTATGCCATTTGTATTAAGGATATGATATTTTTGGATTTGAATGTGATACTGGAAAATTTCCTTCAAATGGTAAATATAGCATTATAGTATATACTTTTGATCCTTATACTGTAACCACACATTTTATTTTTAAGAAGATTTATTTTTATTTATTTGTGTGTTGTGTGTAGGTGCATGTGTTTAGGGTGCCCACAGGAGGAGGTACTAGATCTCTAGGAGCTGGAATGGTAGGTCATTGTGAGCACACTGATGTGGGTGCTAGGAACTCATAGGTCCGGTTAGAGCTCACAGCTGCTCTTAACTGTTACTCAAAAAATGGCAGATAAACATTAAGTAGGGTTATTCTAGGCTTTCTTCAGGCCCATTGTATTACCGTTTGCTTTGTAAGTGTTTTAGAATAAGTTTCTCTTTTTACCTGAAGGATACTTTTATACTTTTAGAGGATTGGAAATAGATGATTGACTTAAATACTCTTTCAAAAGGCTAAGACATTAATTTTAGGGTCAGAGAGTATGGCTTGTAAGGTGTAGGTACATATTTTGCAAGGCTGCAGACCATGTATATGTTCTTTTAGCTGGGGAAATTTTCCTTTGCTTAGATCAAGCTGTCTGGTTCATAGACTTAAGCATTATTATAATAAAATCTTTTAAAGGGGTTTTTAGTTTTGTACTTGAAATGGGAATCTGTTGAAGCTTAGTTTAATGAAAAGCAGATTAAAGATTTACAGTGGTTTTTTTTAAGTTCTTAATTTAACCATGAAAATCAGAAAATTTGGCATTACTGTCTTACTGTCAGACCCCATTTGCATTTTGTCACTTGTCTCAGTGACGGCCTTTGTGGCAGAAATTCAAGTTCAGAACTATACATCACATTCAGTTGACATGTTTCTTTAGTCTTCCTTTTAGTCCTGAAGAGTTCTTTATCTTCCCTGACTTTAAATATTATAGGCCAATTATTTAATAGAATGAACTTTAATTTGGGTTGTCTGGTGCATTTTCATGATTAGATTCAGATTTTATATCCGACGAGTCTTTCTTTCCATTGCGTTTTGTCAGGTGGTGTATAATTTCAGTTTGCTCTTTTACTGACATTATTCACTGGTCACCTCACTTAACAGGTTGTCTCTCAGGTTTTTTATTAAATTTTTGTTGCTGTTGTAACAGATCATTATATACAGTGACTTAAAACAGCACAGATTTATTTTCGTACAGTTTTCAATGATAGAAGAACAAATGGGTTTTACTAGGAAGTAATGATGTGGCTAGGGTTTATTCCTTCAGGAGACCTTGAAGGAGGATTTGCTGACCTTTTCCAGCTTCCCGAGAAAGTCTGTATTCCTTGGCTTGGACCCCTTACTCATCTTCAAAAGAGCATCATTCTAACCTTTGGTTTGTTTTATCACTTCCTGTCTTAGCTCTCTTATCTCTCTCTCAGCACTACTGGATATATTGTCCTCCTAGGATAACCTTCCCATTTCAAGATCTTTAAATCTTTGTGGATTTAAATGTTTGTCATTTAAGATAATTCCTTGCATGAGGATGTGTCTATCCCGGGAGGCTTGCTTCTACATTGGAAACTCATTCTTTTCCTCTGTGGTAATCAGTGTTTTATAGATAGGAACTGGGATTTCTGGTTTCTGGGCACTGAGATTACCAGCTCCTATTGTTTAGAAGCCAAAATCTGGATAGCTCACTGCTATTGGGATTTTGCTGTTGTAATCTTAGTACACAAGGTAGGGAATATGTAGGGATTTATAGAGAGAGTAGAGATTTTTATATATAAAAATTAATATATTTTTATATTAATTCATATTGGTACCTTCACTTCCAGACTAATAGTCAAGGTTTAGTCTTTGTTACTATCTTCTCTGACAGGAAAATGTAGATTATAGGTTTTTGATACATTAACTTTTGTTTTTTGCTTTTTTGAGTCAGGGTTTCTCTGTATTGCTTTGGAGCCTGTCCTGGAACTTGCTTTGTAGACCAGGCTGTCCTCAAACTCACTGAACTCCGCCTGCCTCTGCCTCCTGAGTGCTGGGACTAAAGTCGTGCGCCACCACTGCCCGGCTGTAGGAACTTTTTGATCAGTCTACCTGCATATATAAAACTCTCTGCCACCACCTCCTCCACCTGGATCTGTCTTCGTTACATCGATATCCCTGCCAGGTAGCATTGGATACCCTTGTCACTGTGTTCTAAGTAGGGCAGTGGAACTTCCTACCTGGTAGGGTTGTTTTTCAATTTGAATTTGTTATCTAAGGGTGGTGTTTTTGTTTGTTTTTTTGAGACAAAGTTCCTCTATGTAGCCTTGGCTGCCCAGGAACTTGCTCTGTAGTCCAGGTTGGTGGCCTTGAACTTATTGAGATCTATCTGCTTGCCTTGTCTCTTCCAATCCCAAGTGTTGGGGTTAAAGGTGTATGCTACCACTTCTGACTTGTAAGGGTATTTCCTGCATCTGTGTCTTGTGCTCCATATGTGGGCAGTGCCCACAAGGACTGAAGATGTCAGCTTCCTTGGGACTGGAGTTACAGGCAGTTATAAGCTGCCACATGGATGCTGGGAATTGAAACTGGTCCCTCTGGGAGAGCAGCCTTTATTCTTAACCCCTGAGCCATTGCTTCAGCCCCCTACATGGTATTTAAGAATTCTAAAATACATGAGAGATGTGTGCCTTTGTGCATGCATATTCATGCCTTGGCATACATATAGAAGTCAGGAGAACTGGCAAAAGCTAGTTTTCTTCTACCATATATGTCCCAGGGATGGAGCTCAGATCGTCAGGCTTGGTGGTCAGTGCCTTTACCCACCAAGCACCTCACTGGGCCTGCATGCCAAATTGTTTTACTTAATTGGTATTTCATGTAAGGATTTCAGTTTGGTATATGTTTTTAAAATATGATAAAAACAAAACAACAGAATTAGCCCAGCTAGACTCAAGTTACATGGTCCTAACTTTTTTGGGAACATTACAGGAGGCATCATAGCTAGGAGCTATGGAATTGTTGAGCATGCCTTTTTCTTTCCATAAGGACGGTTTGGTATGGTGACCTTAACTACACTGCCATCATTAAGCTGCTTCACAGCCCATTTAAACTAGACAGCCATGCCCTTAACTGCTAAGTCATCTCCAGCCATTAAACATGGTTTTATATCTAGGGAGGAGTTATGAAGCCAAATGCTTGTGTCAGGTTCAGTAAAACAGTACATGGCATGTTAGCTTTGGTTAACAATTGTAACTGAATTGCAGTTCTTCACAGTGACCAAAATAACTTTTGTCACAACTTTTACACAAACGTGTCCTAAGTTCTTACAGATTTGGCCACTTTCCCAGTTTAATGTAAAATAATTAAAACTTGTGATATTGAATTTTACTGTCCACTCTTGTTTCATCTATGAGTTGATCTCCATGTTAAAACTATAGTTATAAATGTAGTTACATATTTTCTGTAGATAAAATTCTGAACCTGGTTGGTTGGTTAGAACATATCTTGTTAGGTAATTATTTCTTATTAGTTATACTTTTCCAGATAATATTTGGTGTAAATGACAGACAACTTAGTATAGTTTATGAATTTTTGTAAGGGCTATATAAACAGGCAAGACTTTATGTTTCAATAAAATGTTAGCATAATGAAAGTTAATATGATATTAATTCTAGTTCAGATTTCGTTGTGAAAAATAATTTTTAACTCATCTTACTTTTCTTTCTTGACAGAGCAAATTCGATTAAAGAATATCAGAAAAGTATATGGAAGATGTATGTGGTATCGTTTACGGTTATTAAAACCCCAGCCAAATATTATTCCTACAGTAAAGTAAGTAATGGACTTCAATAACGAAACATACTGAGAGCTTACTCTTTGCTAGGTATTATGAATAGGGAATCAAGGGTGGCTTACATGTATGGCTGTAAGGAAACTGCAGCCTGTGAGAGGTGAGGTTTGATCAGTAAGCTTGAGAGCTGTGAGCAGATTAAAAGTCAGAATGAGAAGGGCATGTGAGTCAGCTCTTGTTTGAAGACTGTATATATTATGTCCTAGGATTGAAGTTTTATGTTGAAGCCTGTATGGAAATCCTAAAGATTTCCAAGACTGACATGATCATGATCAGGCATGAATTTCAAGATGATAACTAAAGTTTCGCATGTGTGTTGCCATACGCTTAGTATACTTATTTGATTCTGTGTAGTGAGTACGGTGGAGCAGGACTGTATACCTTGATGTTGGCAGGCTCGTGCTTAGACAGGCCACTAGCAAGAGTTTTACTCTGTGAGGGTTAGGGTGTGCTGCACACTGGGTTATGTCCAGGCTTTGTTTAGCTCAGGCACCAGGTCATCTGCGATCGGGACTGGAGGTTGCTGCTGCAGTTGCCTGTCTGGTGAATTACCCACGTCTGCCTACTCTAGGAACAGAAAATCTAGTAGAGGATTAAGGGTTGAACCAGTTATTTTAAATCTGGGTTTAAATGATGAGGATAGCTTTAAACCTAGTTGTGTTACTTCAGAGGATTGAAATATGATTTTTTTTTTTTTTTAAAGGGGGTAAGGATTGATTTTTTTTTTTTTTTTTTTTTTTTTTTTTTTTGCACATAGGGGATCTTAGCTTTGGTAGTATTTATTACTCAGTGATGTGAAGCTAAATGGAAACTTAGTGCTGAGACCAGTATAGCTTTCTGTGCACTTTTATTTGCTGTTTATTAGCATTTTAAAATAAATTTTATAAACATACACCTTTTTGGTTTGTTTTTTTGTTTTTCCTATTTTTGAGATAGGTTCTCACTGTGTAACCCTGGCTGGCCTGAAACTAGCTGTGTAGATCAGGCTGTCCTCAAACTCTCAAGCATCCATCTGCCTCTGTCTTCTGAGGATTAAAAGTTTGGACTGCCAATGATTTTTATTTCTCAGTCTCAGGCCCCTACCCCATTTTTGCTCAGTGCTTCAGGCACCTGAACCTACACTATCACTTTCCCTTACAGTTTGTATGGTGTGTGTGTGGTGTGTGCCCGGCACGCTGCACCAGTGTGCAAGGCAGGGTAGCTCTGTGTGTGTGTGGTGTGTGCCTGGCACGCTGCACCAGTGTGCAGGGCAGGGCAGCTCTGTGTGTGTGTGGTGTGTGCCCGGCACGCTGCACCAGTGTGCAGGGCAGGGCAGCTCTGGGGACTGAGCTCAGGTTATCAGGGCTGTGAAGAAGATTCTTTTCCCCAGAGCCATCCATCCTCAGTTTTCAAGGAAAAAAGTTGAAGTCCTTTTCATTAATACATAAATGATTTCTTTAATTCGGGATGAAGGTCAGAGAATGACTACGTAGATTCTGGTGATGGTTTAGATAAAGTTAGAAATATGAAAACTTGCTGCTTCACACTACCTACTTCCCTGACAGTATCTCTGAAACTCAGCTGGGTAACTTCTGCAAGTAGCTTCCAAATTACATTTAAAATATGGTTAAAAGAACAAATGCAGAGGACTTTCTAAGTGAATTTACTGAATCTGCGTGTGAGGGAACGTTTGTCTTTTTGGAGGAACCAAACATTCTTTTAGAAAATTGGACACAGGACCAGGCGGTGGTGGTACACGCCTTAAATCTCAGCACTCAGGAGGCAGAGGCAGGTGGATCTCTGTGAATTTGAGGCTAGCCTGGTCTACATAGTGAGTTCCAGGACAGTCAGAGCTACACACAGAAACCCTGTCTTGAAAAACTGAAGGAAAAAAAAAAAATAGAAAATTGGACAAAGAGCATAAGCAATTGTGTGCCGATACCCCCCCCCCCCCCCCAGTTTCTGAAAACTGGAGAATGGTTTTATTGGTTGGAATAGTTTTTGTCAGCTGGGAGGGAGGGGGATTTCCTGTCGTGAACCTTCTCTTCTGTTCTTGGCTCTGAGAACAGACGCCAAATGTGAAGCATCTAATAAGAGTTTAGCATATCTGGGATGTTTCGTTCTTTTCCTTATGTTTGCTTTGCCTTCGTGATTTTTTAACTCTGTTTTATGAGGTTTGGTAGACTTTTACATTTCATCAAAGTAAAAAGTTACGGTGTACTGTGTGTAAATAGCATTTTCAAGTGTTCTTTAGATTACTAAAAGTATTAGCGAACTTTAGTTTTACATTTAATTTCACATGTAATTGTTGTGTGCCTATCATGAGTCAAGTATAGAAGATGCTAGATACACAGCGATGAACAAAATAGCTCTGGTTCAAAGATGTGAACCTTAGGAGGGACTGCCAAATTACAATAAGTTAAGTTAGTAGTATCAGCTCATTTCTTTCTTTGTTACTATAATGAAATACTTGAGTTTCGGTGCTTTATAAAGAAACAAGGCTTATTTAGCTTATTTAGTTTTAGAGGTTGAAAGTACAAGGTCTGGCAGCCTCATTTGTTTGTGTGACCTTTGGAATAACATTACAGCTTGGTAGATGGCATCATGGCAAGAGGATATATACAGATACATATGTAGATACATATACAGTTACAAATACATATAGGAGGGTCCAGGACAGCTGTCAACCCCCCTGTGACTTGAGTTATAGGCAGTTGTGAGCCACCTGATATGGGTGCTGGGAACCAAACTTGGTTCTCTGCAAGAGCAAACAAACCACCGAGCCATTTCTCTAGTTCCCCACCCCCCCAGACCTCATCTCTTAAGAAAGATCCACCACATCTTTTTGTGTACGATGTGCATGTGTGTTCAAATTGAGTGGGTGCATGTCTTCAGGTAAGCATGCATGCATTTATGTATGGAAGCCAGAGGCTGACATCTGATGTCTTCCTTGATTATTTTCTACTTTATTTACTGAGGTATAGGATGTTCTAGTTTTATTTCTGTTGCTAATCACAGTCAAGAGCAGAAACTGTTCTGGGCAGACAACTAACTAGTCTACCTTCTTCCTGCCAGTTATCTTTTTAATTAATTGTTATTTAAATTTAAAACAATCTTATTTTGCATATCAATACCAGTTCCCTCTCCCATCTTCCCATTCTCCCCACCATCTTCCCATGCCAGCTCCCATCCACTCCTCAGAGAGGATGAGGGCTCCCATGGGGGATCATCAAAGTCTGTCAGTATTTGGGGCAGGACCTAGGTCCTCCCTTATGTATCTAGATTGAGAGAATACACCTCTATAGCCCATTTGTGCACTAGGGATATACTGATTCCACTGCCAGAGGCCCCATATTCTGCCCAAGCCCCCTAACCATCACTCATGTTTAGGGGGCCTGGTTTGGTCTTATGCAGGGTTCCTGGCTGTCAGTCTGGGGTCCATGAGCTCCCACTTGCTCAGGTCAGCTGTCTGTGGGTTTCCCCACCATGGTCTTGGCCCCTTTGCTCATCACTCCTCCCTCTCTACAACTGGATTCCAGGAGTCTGGCTCAGTGCTTAGCTGTTGCCAGTTATCTTTAATCTAGATTTCTACCATCTTTATATAGCTTAGGACTTTTTGCCTAGGGAGTGAGGCTGCCCACAGTGGGCTGACTAGGTCTTTCTGCATCAGTTAGCAATCAAGATGATTCCCAGGCATGCCCATAGGCTAGTCTGATCTGGGCAATCCCTTAATTGAGGTTCTTTATTCAGGTGATATAGATGATGGCAAATTGACATTTAAAATTGTACAGGCTTCTTGCTAAACATGGAGTTTCCCAAGCTAGTGTATCTAGTCAGTTTGCCCTAGATCCCATCTCTGCCTCCTGAACACAGGGGTTTAATGGGCAATCATGACCGTCTGGCTTTTCTGTGGGTTAGAGATATGAATTCTGATTCTCAGACTGGTCCACTGAACTGGTCCTACCACTTTTTTGTACTTTGTACTGCTAAACCATAGCAGTAAGGACTGGGAGAGGAGGTTTGCTGTGGGAGAACAGTAGAAGGGCTCACTTGGCCCAAGGCAGGGGAGGCTTTTTAAGTGGGTTCTAAGTGTGGGTAAGAGTGTGTGTGTGTGTGTGTGTGTGTGGTAGTGGGGTTGAACCTTGCAAATCTAGTTAAATGTTCCAATGTTGATCTATATTCCTAGCATCTGAGACTTGGGGAAGAGTTACTAGTAATAGCCCATGAATTGATTATGTTTACTACATGAGTCACTTTCAAAGTACAAACCCATCATGGAAGTTACCAAACTTTCTTAATTGATATGTAATAATGGTGGGAGTTGAGCTTGTGAGTTTTGCTTTGTGGCCAGGAGAAAGAGGGAGATGTTCTACACGGGGTTCGATCTCCTCTTTGGGCATTCATGTGGGCATTTGGGTGGGCTAGAAAATGGCTTGAAGTTATATACCTTTAAAAGTTTAAAATATTCCTGGGGATTTTTGTAGAGTGCTGGCCAACCATGCAGGAAGTCTTTGGTTTGATCCCTAGCACCCTGTAAACCAGGTATGGTGGTGCATGGCAGACAGTTAGCACTTGTGTGGGCTGTGGAAGCAGGAGAACCAGAAGTTCAAAGCCATCCTCCTTTTACATAGTGAATTTATGGGCAGCCTAGGATATATGAGACCCTTCCTGAGGGAGAGAGGGGGAGAGGGAGAGGGGAGGGGAGTGGAGGGGAAGAGAGGACGAGAGAGAGAGAGGGAGGGGGGGGTAGAATATTGATTTGCCCAAATGGAAGGAGACTTGTGTCTCTCAGTTATCATTGCTGTTTAAACTACCCAGGGGTTAGTAAACACTGAATAAGATCTTGTTTAGATGTCCAAGGAATTTGCAGCAAGTCAATGGAAAAAAGTTATTGTTGGTTCTGAACTGTGTTCTCTTCAAAGGATTGCTTTTTAGTTGATAATTTTAGTTGACTTGAAGGGTGAATATAGAGTTTGTGTAGGTAGGCACACATGGGGACGAGATTTTGACAGATACAAGACAGTAAATGCATGATTGTAGGAAAGCTTGTGAAACATTGAAGAATAAAATCTGTTTATTGAAAATTGGGTAAGCAGAAAAATAAGGAATCATTCTAGGTGATTCCAGGTGGAGAGGCTTATTTCCAAATGATAAGTGCATTTAAGCCCAGTTCTATCAAAGAGCAGAAACACAGGCTGAGGGTGTAACTCAGAGTTCTTGCCTAGCACAGACAGGAAAGGCCCTAGATGTCATCTCAGTACAGTGACAGAAACAAGGAGCTTAAACATAAGGAACTTTTTTTTTTTGTCCTTAAAGCCAGTCTTTACAGTTTTTCTTGATTATTTTATACTTTTGTCTAACAAATCGTATTCATTGTAACAAATTGTCATACAAAGGATCTAAATAAAAGTTCACTTTTCACCTAAAGATAGTGATTACTTCATACTCTTATTTCTAATCATGTTTCTGTTTATAGAAATTAGATTGTTTTACAAAGCTTGAAAACTGTTTTTCCCTTTCAAATTTAACATTAAAAGAATTTCATGACTGATTTTACTTTAGTTTACTATAAAGTATTTACTCTGTTTAAATGATTGAAATTATTATTATTTTGCCTAGTAATTCATTGATGAACATTTAAAGCTGTTTATATTTGATTTTTACTATATAGAATGCATTCAGGAGAGAGGAAAATTCATTTTTTCTAATTGTTCTTTTAGATCCTTAGCATGTGCACATGTTTACATGTTAGATATAAAATGTCTTTTGTGAGACTGCACCATGGTTTGACTCCTCTCCCTGAATTAGTTATTGCTGATAGATACTAGACTATTTCCAAACTTTACAGTTTAAAGAAGTCTGTTTATTCATCTGTGTATACCTAGCCAGTTTTTAAAAATTCACCTTACTAACTATGAAATTTCAAGGTCAAGAGTAATCTTTTTTTTTTACACTAAGTGGTTTCTTGGCTGCTTAACATTTATGTATTTTAACGAGTCTAGTATTTCTGTATTTAATTCTCCAAATAATAACTGGAAGCATCTATTACATGAAGGCACTCTACTAGATTCTAGAGGATTCAGAAGTGGAAAAGACAGCATCCTTGCTGTAACAGGAACTTAAGTTTAAGTCGGTAGTGTAGCATGGTGGTGAGGAATTGCTTTAGATTGTTTTATTTCTTTAGCTTGCAGAGAGCCGTGCAGTAGTGTTCATTTATGTCATTTTATGTCATTTGTCTTTTTCCTCAACAGGAAAATAGTTCTGCTTGCAGGATGGGCATTGTTCTTATTCCTTGCATACAAAGTTTCCAAAACAGACCGAGAATATCAGGAGTACAATCCTTATGAAGTGTTAAATTTGGATCCTGTAAGTAGCATTCTTATGTACTATCATTAATTTAACAATACCCTGAATACAAAAGGTCCATACTCTAAAACAAATTAGACATTTCCAAAAGAATCAGAATTTTGTCTTTTAACCTTTTTTTTTTTTTTTTTGTTAAGTATTTGTATTTTTGGTTTATGTGTATCTGTGTTGTATGTGTACTCAGGCAGACAGAAGACAGAAGAGGCTGCCAGACCTCTTGGAGTTTGCAGGAGGTTTTAAACTTCTTGATGTGGGTGCTGAGTACCGACCTCAGGATCTCAGGGAGAGCAATATAAGATTTTATCCACCAAACCATCTCTTCAGCCTTATCAGTTAATTAAAAAAAGAATCTTATTGTCATTTAGATATATTTGTTCTATTGTTGATTGCTACTAGTATTAGTTTATAACAAAATTTTAAGGTTACTTGATGATGAGAAGTGACTATTTTTAAAAATACATTCATGTTGATTGACATATGTAATATCTTAAGTTTGAGTTAGGGGTACTTGTAAGAAACTATTGCCATTATCACTGAATTAAGTAACCCTTGATTATATTCTTTGGGGGAGATTTTGGTTCTTAAACCTACAGAGCATTAGAACTGGAGTTGGCTGGGGGAACTGGGTCCTGTAACAGCTTAGTAGGCAGACTGGATCTAGTGGCTGTGGTTTTAAGCTTCCTTTTTCTTCAGTGGATGACTTGGTTTTGAAGTTGATAGAATACAAGTTAAGGAGAATGTTCATCATCTAGTTTTGTGCTTTGTAGAAGAAAAGTTTGCACATAATAGCACTTCTATTTGATTGGTTTCCTTTTAAACAATTTAAGGTTTTATTTTTAATTGTATATGTATGTATGTCTGTATGTGTTTATGTATGTATGTTTGTATGTATGTGTGAGTGTGAGTTTGTGTATGAGAATGCAGAAGCCATCTGAGGATGCTGGATCCCCTGAACCTGCCCAGTTTGTTCGTGCTGGGAACTAGACTTGTGCACACTTTCTAAGAGCAGTATGAACTTTAACCCATGAGCTCTCTCTCCAGCCCAGTGTCTGTTTTTCCTTACTGTAACCATCATGGCTACCAAGAGTTTAATAAAAAGGTGTGGGGAAATAATAGTGGTCCAAAATTATTGGTAAGAAGTGATACTGAGATTCAATGCCAGTTCTTTAAAATTTTTACTTAAAATTAGAACCCTGACAGTCAGATGAAATAAGATGCTGCTCAGAATATAAAGACAGCAGATCTGTGACTTAACTGCATGAATTTACTCGTGATCGTTTTTGGATGTTTAAAGCCAGTACACTTTTATTTAAATGCGCAGTTACATGATCTCACCACTATTACCACCAGTGACTCGTGTATTGTATGCCATATAGTTAAATGCCTGATAAAAATAGCTCTATTGAACAAAAGAAGTATGAAGACAAAATGTATAGGAGAAAATGTTATTCTCTTTTGTCAGAATGTTGAGTAGTTCATGGTTTAAAATAAAAATAGGGTTATTTCTTGCATTATATTCATATGTATTAACAAAACGTTTCCTTTTAGGGAGCAACAGTAGCAGAAATTAAGAAACAATATCGATTGTTGTCACTTAAATATCACCCAGATAAAGGAGGTGATGAAGTTATGTTCATGAGGATAGCAAAAGCTTATGCAGCGTAAGTATCGTAGGGCCTGTTACACTTTTAAAAGAAAGGGGAAAGTAAAATGAATGTCAGATACTTTTCTTAAATATTAACCAGGTATATTTGAACCTGCCATTTATGGACTTACTCAGCAGCTCTAAAGTGGTAGTTTAATTAAACCACAAGTTATTCAGGGTTAGACTTGGAGAAGTGATTTTGCCAAGTTTAATTAAACTTGTCTTAGTTACTGTTTTGGTGTGAAGAGGTCCTGTAACCAAGGCAGATTATAAAATAAATTATTTAATTAGGGCCTTGAGGAGCTCATCCATGATGAGCATGGAGGCAAGCAGGCAGGTAGACGTGATACTGGAAAGTAGCTGGGAGCTTATATCCCATCTGAAGGGTGGAGATAGAGCAAGATGGGGCCTGGAATGACCTTGTGAAACCTCAAAGCCCACCCAGTGACACAAGGCCACCTCCTACACCTTCTAAACATTGCCAGCTGGGAAACAAGTATTGAGATACATGAGCCTGTAGGGGTCTTTCTCTTTCAAACCACCACCATTTGACGAAAAGAGTTTTTCCCTCTAGTGTATGTTTTTGACACCTTTATCAAAGCTTAGGAGATCACAACTGTGGGTTTATCTCTGATTTTCTGTTCTGTTGTTCTGCCTGTTGGATTTTGTACCAGCACAATGCTGCCATTGTCACTGTGGCTCTGTAGGTAGTTTTAGGCTAGTTAAGAGGATGCTTCTGGCTGTGTTCTTTGTGCCTAGAATTGATTTGGCTATTATGATCTTTTTTGTTTCCAAAGCATTATCAGGTTTGTTAAGGAGTTGAGATTTTCATCTAGTGCTTTTTAATGACATATACTGGGATCTGAAATAGAGTCATTTAATTCTCTGCTCTGAGCTATTGGCCAGGTCTGGACTTAATTTTATTTAGGCATTGAAAATCATTCCGTCACTCATATTGCCTGACCTGAAAGCTCTTGTGTAGAAGGTATTTTCCTAGTTCTCCTGGCACTCGGCTTAGTTTTTCCACAACAGTGGCATTTTATAGGTGATATTTACCTCTTGAGAGCATAATGCCACTGTTTCGGAGTAACTCCTCTATTTTAAATTATTATTGTCTTCATCAGAACTTTTAGAAAGTAGACTTAGGGGAAAAAAGTTACTTTAAAACTTACATTATTAGAGGATGTAGAAAATAGCCTTTTTTCATCAGATTTAATTGGCTAAAGTTGAACTAATCAGGAATTTGTATCAAGGTCTAGGGATTAGTAGCATATACACACACACATACACACACACACACACACACACACACACACTTATACTCCTTTTCTGAGTTCCAAGAGACTTTTTTTGATTCTTTTAATCATTAATCCCTTTTTGTGGGAGGGTATGTATATCTGTATGGTATGTGTGTTCCCTCATGTGGGTGCACATGTATGTAGAGGTTGGTGTTGGGTGTTTGCCTATATACTCTCTACTTTCTTTACTTAGAAAGCCTCTCTTACTTAAATCCAAACAGTAAAAACTGGCCTGTCTTTGTCAACTGAATGCTAGGTTTTAGGTGGGCTGCCATACCTCTGTCAGGTTTACATGGGTGCTGGGACTTTCCAGTCTCCATGCTTGCACAGCAAGCACTTTATTGAGTAAGCCTCATCCCCAGCCTTGGTTAATATCTTTTAAGAAGTGAGTTTGCTTCAGGTGGGGTAGGTGTGACATTGGAGCAGTCAGGAGCGCTCACCATCCTCCCTTCTGAACAACCAAAGAGTTCAGTCTCCAGCACCCAGTTTGGGCAGCTCACAACTGCCCGTAACTCCAGATCCAGGTACTTTCAAAGTCTCTGTGTGTGCCTGCACTCTCGTACATATAGACACACACTCACGCATGCCGCGCGTGCGCACGCGTAAATAAAGAAGTCTAAAAACAAAGGTATTGACTGGCTAATGAAGTTCTTACATTTGAATACAGTTTTTGGGTTATGGATTTCTAATTTTGATACTTTGTTTTCTTCATGGTAGTTTAACAGATGAAGAGTCTCGGAAAAATTGGGAAGAATTTGGAAATCCAGATGGGCCTCAAGGTGCGGTGAATATAAAAATGTTGGTAGTATTATATATTATGAAAAGATTAACTAGAATAAGAGGAATACTGATTTTTCTGTTTATGCATATGAAAACTTGAACTTCTTTTAAAAATATTTTGTGTGTATATATGTTTCACTTATATTTATGTTTGTGTCAACAGAGATCAGAAAGAGTGGGATCCATCAGGTCTCCTAGAGCTGGAGTTATGGGGCCATTGCGAGCCGTTATGAGGGTCTGGGAACTCAACCTGAGTCTTGACAGAGCAACAAGCACTCTTTTTTCTTTTATTTAAAATTTATTTTATTTTATGTGTTTTGCTTATGTGTGTGTTAGATAAGGATGTTGGATCCCCTGAAATTGGAGTTGTGGATAGTTGTGAGCCACTTTGTGGGTCCTAGGAACTGAATCCAGGCTCTTAACTGATGAGATAGCTGGGGTAGGAGAGAAGGCTCAAAGGCTAGGCTCACAACCACAAGACAGCAAGTGCTCTTAACCACTGAGCAGTCTTTCCAGCCTCTCCATTTACTTAAAGACTTTAGTTCCCAACAAATTTGACCTGGTGGTGGTGGTTCTACTACTACTACTACTACTACTACTACTACTACTTCTTCTCCTTCTTCTTGGGGGGAGGGGTGACCAGGATGAGAAGGTTAGGCCTTCCCAGTGTTGTATTGAACAGCTCAAAGCTGCCTGTAATTCCAGCTCCAAGGAGATCTGATCTTGGTCTCTGGGGACACTTGTTCTCAACATGTACATACCTATTCATAGATAGAAACACATGCTTACAATTTAAAAATCATAATAAACATTCTCCATATGCACGGTACCTGAATGTGTATACACATACTCCTCCACATACAAACATGCATACGTGTGTCTACACTATGAGCACATGCAAGCATTTTTTTCTTTACTAGTTTCTTGCATTTTCATAGTGTGTATATGAATTTAAGGCATGAAAGGATTTGGGTTTCCTAGGAAAAAGAAATTTAAGTGTAAAAAGTTTCCCCATTGAGAACTATGATGTTTCGTACTCACATTATTTTGTAGCATACACATATACATTTATTTATTTTGAGACAGTCTCATTGTGGCATCCATGCTGACCTTGAACTTCCAGTGATCCTTCTGCTCAAGATTTGTACATGCCTAGGTGTAGTCTTTTGGGTTTGCTGAATGGAAATAAATGTAATGTAATCTTCAGGTGTTTTGGGGAAATGGGAAGGGAACTTAATTTTGAGATGTAGATAAATAAAATTGAAGGCAACGTCTGTTGACAAATGATTTATTTTATTTCAGCTACAAGCTTTGGAATTGCCTTGCCAGCTTGGATAGTTGACCAGAAAAATTCAATTCTGGTAAGTGCATTTAAATAAGGCCTGTTCTGATATTCTTGATATACTTTTTTTCATATACTGTATTAAGGTGTAATATAATGAAAGCTTTCACAAAGGAACTCTCAAATGCTTTTTAAGTTTTACTGTGTTTTGAAAGCTACATGGCAAGAGAAAAGAATTGGTTCTCATTATTACAGTGCCGGTTTAGGACAGTGCATTCTAGTTTTTTGTTGTTGCTGAATTTTTTTCCTCCCAAGACAGGGTTTCTCTATGTAGCCCTGGCTGCCCTGAAACTCTGTAGACCAGGCAGGCCTTGAACTCACAGAAATCCACCTGCCTCTGCCTCCTGGGTGCTGGGATTAAAGCTGTGTGTCACCACCATCCAGCAACAATATATTCTAAATGTAAGTTTGAAGCCTTCAAGTTTTACCAATTTATTTTGAAAGTTTTTTTGGGTAGTGTCTTACTTTTGGTTTGAGAACTGTCAGCTTTTATGATAGCCGTATTTATCTCAGGTGAATTTATAATTTAACATATTCATTTTACCTTTACTCAAGCTAAGTTACTTTATGTTACATTGAAACATGCCCATCCCAGCGAGGAAGCAGTGGGTCATCAGACAGACTTCCATCACTGTGTCTGCTACAGCCCTAAAGCACCAGGGATTGTCTTCGTACATTGTTTAAAAATGGATGGTTCTCTACTTGAGGGCTCTTGAAAGTAATGATCTAGGAGCTGTTTCATTTTGATATGATTTTTCCTTATTAGTTTTAAATGTATTCTCTCTCGTGCGTGTGTGTGTGTGTATGTGTGTGTGTGTGTGTGTGTGTGTGTGTGTATATTTTGGGGGTAGGTGTTGCCCAGGGCCACAGCAGGGATGTGGAGGTCAGAGGATAACTTGCTGGAGTTGGTTATCTCCTATCATGTGGGTTCTGGGACTGGAACTCAGGTAGTTAGGCTTGGTGGCAGGCGCCTTTACCTACTGAGCCATCTTGCTGGTCTGAGAAGTCTTTTTTAAACTTTAAAAGTCAAAAAATACACACAGTTTAGCTATAGTTTGTTTTGAAAATGTTATTTTGTGACATTAAAATTGGGAAATTTCTATCCTTGGTGCTTGTAAGGATTTCTGTCAATCTTAGGGTTAGTGTGGGATAATAGAAAAGAGAAACGTAGCTGACAGATTGCAGACAAAGCTGTTGGCAAAAAGTCAATAGCTACTATTCAGTAACAATAATGAAAAGACACACTTGTAGTTAGGCTCTGGAGTTAGTTTGTAAGGGCCTGTAATTTATTTCACAGTACTACTTGCAAAATATGAATGCAGAAAAGTGCTTCAGGGGAGAGAGGCATAATTTACAGATTTTTTCAGTTATCTATATTAGATCAGTGAAGAGAAAATTAAAAGGTGATTTGTATACCAGACACAAGCTCTAGAGTTTGAATGTAACACTGCTAACCTGTATGACCTAGGACAAGCTCTGTAATGTTTGTACTTCAGCTATGCTGTCCATAAAATCCAGTCACCTTCAATAACAGAGTACTTTAATAGTGTGAACATTGACTTAACCTACCAGACCAAGGCACTTTAAACTGTTCTCTGTCTTGAATTCTAGGTTTTACTTGTGTATGGATTGGCGTTTATGGTTATACTTCCTGTTGTTGTGGTAAGTTCTACACTTATAATTAATTTGGAGGTGGGGGTAGTTGCTCCATAAGATTTTGATTCAATCTCATGTTTTTGAAGATATTGTTGTTGTTGTTTGAAACAGGGTCTTATTACCTAACTCCAGCTGGCCTGGAACTTGACAGGTAGTCCAGGTTGTCCTCAGACTCCTGCCTCTGCTTCCTGATTGTTGGGATTAAAGGTGCCACCACGCCTGGTCTGCTTTTTAACGTGTGTGTGTGGGGGGGTATATGTACATGGGAGTACGTGTATACGGAGTTCAGAAGAGAGTATTGTATCCCCTGAGCTGGAGTGGTTATGAGTTAGTTGATGTGGGCAATGGGAACAGACCGTGGGTTCTCTGTAAGAACAGTATATAGTCTTAACCACTAAGCTGTCCCCAGCCCCTAGCTGCCTCATCTGAAAACATAGCTGTGTAGTACTGTAATGCAGAGCTACCAGAAAGTTTATAGTTTTCATCGTTTGTTTCTTTGAGCCTTGTGTTCTTTTTGATTCTGGAGTTTGTGTGGCTCCATGAGTCCTGTTACACATCTGTCTTGACCTCTTCATAGGATTGCTGTGTACAACCCAATGAATGAGAACATGAATGAAAACATGTCAGCAATACATGGCTCTATACTTGCCAAATGTTTCCTAGAAAATTTTGTGTTAGAAACCACTTTAATAGCTTATAGCAGTGGGTGGTTTTATTCTTGTTTTATATTTTAAACACTTTCTGCCTAAAACCTAAAGCATTTTAATCATGCCTGATGATTTGTGGTGGTATTTTAGGTGTCTGACAATGTAAGTCTTTGTTAAATAAATTATTTGAAATATGAAACAAGCTCAAGCACATCATTGCTCTTAATACATTTTTGAAAAATTCACAAAAAACATTGTGCTGCCTCAACCTTAACATTTATCATTTTTCATGTTTTATATCTTGTTCAATTTTATTTGTGTTTAGGGCTCTTGGTGGTATCGGTCAATACGATATAGTGGAGACCAGATTCTAATACGTACAACACAGATTTATACATACTTTGTTTATAAAACCCGAAATATGGATATGAAACGTAAGTAAACCGAAGAAACTGCTGTTTGTTGCATTGCTTTCTGAATCATTATATATTGCTATGTATTTCTTAACTCTATAGTAGATTTCGTTTTGTAGTTCATCAGCTATCAGAAACCAAGAGGACCATTGCCAAATGAATGGCCCCCTTTCCACCTCACGGTCATGACTTTTTCATACAGCCTAGGCCCACCTGCCCAGGACTGGTACCTCCTCCATCAGCATCAGGAAAGTACCCCACAGACACGCCCACCGGCCAGTCTGATGGAGGCATTTCCTCAGATAAGGTTTCCTCTTTCCAGATGACTAGTTTATGTCTTTAATGAAAATGTATAAAATTACCAAGTTTCTACATAGCAAAGGCAACAATTGAGTAGGGAGATGGCCTACAAGATGGAGAAAAATGTTCAGTAGCTAAACAACTGAGAGAGGATGAATTTCTAGAATGAATAAAGAATTTAAAAACCTGGTGTGAATGTATTCACCTGTAATTCAAGTACTCAAAGAGGCAGGAGGATTGCCCCAAGTTTGATGCCAGCCTGGTCTACATAGGGAGTTCCAAGCCAGTGTTTTAAAAGGAAGAGGAATTCTATCTTAACTCTTGTCAGGCTTGCTGTTATTAAGAAAACAATTAACAAAAGCTGGCAAGGATGCAGTTGCTGGTGAAAATGTAAGTTCATCCATCCACTATACATGAAGATTACTCAAAAATCTTTAAGTAAAATTATCATATGATAAGGTAGGCATGCCACCTCTGGGAATATTCCAAAAGGAAGCTAAGTCAGATACCTCCACATCTGAGCTTACCATGGCATTGCACACAACAGCCACGCTGTAGAATATGCCTGTGTCTGTCAATAAGTGGATAAGTATAAATATATATTAATAACCATCATTTTTTTTTAATTCTTCCATAAGGAAGAATGAACCTAGGGAAGTTTCAGGAAAATTGATTAAACAGGAGATAACTATATTATGTGAAATAAATGAGACTCAAAACGTTCATTGCGTTTCTCTCAAGTAGATCCTAGGTTTTTATGTGTATATATAAAATCATAGATATACACATATACACACCCATATATACATATATGTCATGAAAATTGAAGCAAGACTGTCCGGGAAAAGGAAGAGTACTAGCTGGAAGGGGAGGGGAAGATATGGTCAAAATCCATAATATAATTGAACATAGAGTCTGTGAACCCCTTAACTACATAGCGAGCATAGGCTATAGAAAAGGATGAGTTATTTGTTTCCCTCCACATGAAATTATTTGAGCTTGGTGTGGTGATGCATGCTTTTAACCCCAGCACTTGAGAGGCCAGAGCAGGCAGATAGATGTCTGTGAGTTCCAGGCCAGACTGGTTTACATATTGAGTTCCAGTCAAAGTTACATGGTGAGACCTTGTCTGAATAATTAATTAACTAATTAATTAATTAATTTTTTGCGGGGATAGTAGTAGGTTGCACGTTTACTGTGCCTGCTGTGTGTTGGGCACATCTGAAGAAATTAATGCACAAGGAGAAATGTGAAGACTGTTGCCCAGGTCGTTTAGCCAGGAAGCCACAGAACTGTGGTCTCTACCCTTCAGCATCTGTAGTCCCACCTTTTGTTATCACATGTATTTTTTCCTCTATTAAAGGTAAGGAAAGGTTCATGATTAGGGTGAAGTTGATTGTAGTGTCAGTACTTACAGAGCTTTTAGGATGATAATACACGTGGCAGGGAATTTCTATAAAGCACTCGAAAGTTCCAGAATTTTTGTTTACTTTGATATTCTGAGAGGTCGTAGAATAAGGAGAATCTCCTGCTCTTGGTAATTCGTTATTTCCAGTCTTACTTAACTGAAGGACATTCTTTCACATGCAACATTCCAACATCACATCAAGTGTAATGTTCTTAGCAGACTTCTATGGAACACATGCTTAATATAGAAACATGCTGTTTTAAATGACCTTATTTTTCCAATCATTTTGTGCCCATAATTTGACAAACATACTCATTTGGGATAGGCAACAACTTTAAAAAGTACAGTTTCTTTTGTATTAGAGGAAGATGCTAATTTACTTGTCAGTATTGGAGGCCAGACGACTTTCAGGGTTGTGTTGTGTATGATTAGAAAGGTGCTTTAGGGTTAAGGGAGGTATCCCAGGAAGATAGATTAATAGATGAGCAAATATTTACTTTACCATTATATTTGTTTTATTTCTATAGGTCTCATCATGGTTTTAGCTGGAGCTTCTGAATTCGATCCTCAATATAATAAAGATGCTACAAGCAGGCCGACAGATAATATTTTAATACCTCAGGTTAGTCTGATCTTACAAATTTTTGGATGAGCAGTAAAGTACAAAAGTGAATGATTCATGTTTCTGAATAATTATTTTGTTTGCCTTAGCTAATCAGAGAAATTGGCAGCATAAATTTAAAGAAGAATGAACCTCCACTTACCTGTCCATATAGCCTGAAGGCCAGAGTTCTTTTACTGTCTCATCTTGCTAGAATGAAAATTCCTGAGACCCTGGAAGAAGGTATTTGTGACTCTTCATTTTAAAGAGTTTTAATGGGAACAAAACGACAGATATAAGTAGTCTTGGTGATTCAGAGTTTAGACAATGTTCTCTTTTTTTTTTTTTTTTCAATCAAATAGTTGGTTATATTCCATTAAAAAAATCTATATGTAATTCCTTTACACGTAGTTTGAAAGTCTACATTAGCTTTTGGCAAATGTCAAATTCATTATTTCAAGGTCAGAATACTCTGTATGAAAATGTTTAATAATTTCAGGTTAGTAGAAGAGTTACCTAAGTGGCTTTGCTTTCTGAGACAGTCTCAGTTATGTGTCTCAAGCTGCCCTTAAACTTGCTCTGTGGACTCAAGCTGGAGACACTTCAGCCTCCTGTGGACTGAGATTGTAGATTCGCATCACCATGTCTGGCTCTTGGTCTCCTGGTGATGTTTGATTAAAGAACTTGAAAGATTTCAGAGGGGCAAAAGTAGATTTACAGCAAATATCTGACCCTCTTAATCCAATGCTATCCCCCCCCCACTTCTCAGTAGTAGTAGTACAGAGAAGTAGGTTTGATTTTTACTTAAAGGTTCATAAGTGTTTGAAATATCTATTCTCTAAAACGGAGGCTGTGGTTGAGATGCAAGTGTTTCCAGAGAGCTCATTGATATGAATGTCATCTTTTAGCTGTAGTATTTCCGTTGAAACTTAAAAACTTGCCATCCTAAAACATAAACATTCTTTCTGAATGAAATTTTACCACCACCGCCCACCCCCACTGTTCAGCTAATGTTGCAATCCAGGGCTCCTGGAAATAAAGATATTTGGTACTTAGTGCTAGGAAGGATGCTTAGGGCAGAGGAAGGAACATTTTTAGGCATTGTTCCTGGAGTTACTTTGAAATAAAGTAGTAGTTTATTAATGTTCTGTGCACATATGGTAGGCGTATTCATTTTAACTCATCATTTCTCACACACAGCGGGTCTGCTTTTTAGGTTGAGTACCAAATCTTATCTGTCTTCGTGTATATCACAGATGCCTGAAGAGAGCCTTGGGTTCCTTGGAACTGTAGTTACAATGGTTGTGAGCCACTGTGTGGGTGTTGGAAACTGAATTCCAATCATCTGGGACAGCAGCTAGTGCTCTAACTTCTGAGATGTCTTTTAGCCCTTCAAATGGATGATGATGATTTATTTTTCTGTATTGCTGGTATTTGAACCCAGGACCTGACATGTGCTGTGCATATACTCTCATATACTCTGTCACCTGGCTACATTCCCAGCCTGTTAGAATTCTTTAATTTATTGTTTTATTGTAATGTATATGGGCGTTTTGCCTGCAGTGCTGCCATGTATCACGTGTTCAGTGCTGAGGAGGGCAGAAGAGGGTATTTGATTCGCTGGGACTTTAGTTACAGACTGCTGTCAGTTACCATGTGAGTGCTAGGACTTGAACCTTGGCCCTCTGAAAGAGCAACCATTCTCTTAAGCACTGGTTCATCTTGCCAGCCTATTGTTTTTGCTTGTTTCTGGAGATTGGACTCAGGTGGTCAGGCTTGCACCACAAGCAAGCTTACAAGTTTAGTCATGCCCCCCCCCCTTTAACTTTCTCCTCCTCTTTTTTCTATGTTTAGTTGAGTTTATTCTCATTCATAGTCTTTGTATTGACCTACAGTTAGTTATAGGAACTTAACAGCACAAGCAGGACATTTTCAAAGATAGCAAGATTAGAACTGAATTTATGATTAGGACAGTTTTGCAATGATGTTGAGGATAAACATTCCTTTACGCATTAAAATTCTGAAACTATGTGAAATATTTAAGGGCCAGGACATTTTGTGTTAGCCATGGCCTTCCAATGGGAAAGGTGTTTTCACGGTGAGGTTAGAATGGCTTATTTCAGGGTTGTTTTCTTTCCCCGCCAGATCAACAGTTCATGCTGAAAAAATGTCCTGCTCTGCTTCAAGAAATGGTTAATGTAATCTGCCAGCTAATCATCATGGCCAGGAGCCGCGAAGGTGAGGAGGAAATGTAACTAATTTGGGCTTCCTGTAAGCATTTGCTCGGTATACTCACAGTTTAAAGCTTTGTGAGTGCTTAAGTACAAGTATGTGTCCTGGGTCAGTCAGGTTTCTCAGATTTGCTCGTGATTGTTCTCATTCTTTTCTGTGTGTGTGTGTGTGTGTGTGTGTGTGTGTGTGTGTGTGTGTGTGTGTGTAGAAAAGGAATTTTGAGCTGTTAGTGGAAAAGGAGATGCTAAAAAAAAAAGGACTTTATACTTTGTTGTGGGTGATTTTAGTTCTTGGCAGTGTTACGATACATTTGGAATATTGATAAGATCTTCTTATTTACTGTTGTTGGCGTTTGTAAGTACAAAGAGTTTGAGCAAGGCATGGATTATATCTGTAATCTCAGCACTTGTTAGGCTGAGGCATGGGTCTAGTTTGACCTTGCTGCCTTCAAAAAGTAAAAATAAAGATAGATGTAAAAAACACAAAATACTTACTTACTCTTTTATTTTTGAGGTAGGGTGTTGCTTTGTAGCCAAATCTGTCTTAGCTTCTTAAGCAGTAACGGTCCTGCTGTACTCTACTGTGTCCACCTTAGGGCGCTTTTGGGGGTTTGTGTTTGTGGCATCTGACTGCACTGTCAGACTGGCCCTGGAAACACTGTCCCCTGGCTTCAGCCTTGTGAGTGCTAGGATTGGCACTCAAGTGCTGGGGTCACAGGTGTTTTCCACCACGTATGGTACTTACTGATGGTGCCTGATATTTTACCATTATTGGAGTTGATACTGAGACTTTTGTTAAATTAGTGGCTGTTGCTCAGTAATACACACTTGACCAAGTTTAACATTTTTTTTTTCAGTAGTTTCTAAAGGAAAAATCAAAATCCTGATGTTGAATTTTTACTGATTTTACTCCTTGTAATGAAAGTGTAAAAAGTACAGCCAGCCCGTTTGTTTCTCTTTTTTCCTATTCTTTCTAAGAAAGGGAGTTTCGTGCTCCAACTTTGGCATCCTTAGAAAACTGTATGAAGCTTTCCCAGATGGCTGTCCAAGGCCTCCAGCAGTTTAAGTCCCCCCTTCTGCAGCTCCCACACATCGAGGAGGACAATCTTAGGAGAGTTTCGAACCATAAAAAGGTTTGTTGACTGCTTTCTAATCAGAGTGTAACAACTTGTTGTATCATAAGGTAATGTGAATAAAGTTTTCTAGATTTGGTTACTGTGGATTTCTTAAATTTACAATATCATTTTATCCGTATTTCTTAATTAGGTAGTTTTATAATATTTTACTACTATAGAATTAACTGTTTTAGGTTGAGTGAATTTTAGCAATTAATATTTTTACATTGCAAAAATATATGTATCAAATAAGAATGTATCACATACTTTTTATTTTGTTTTTGACTTAAAGGTTGGGCAATTATTATAGTGGGTGTGGTAGTATAAGCACTCTGGGAGGCTGAGGCTGGAAGGCTGTGGTAAATTTGAGGCCTAGGCTAAGTAGTGAACATGAGGCTAGCCTGGGCCACACAGTGAGACCCCGTTTCAAAAACAAAACGAAAAAAGTTACTATGTATATAGTAGAAGATTAAAGATAATAACTGTGTAAGAATCTGTATCCAAGTTCTCAGTCCTTTATCATATTGCCATTATAAATTTCATCAATGTTAAGTAATAATTTGAAATAACAGAATCCTAGAGTTGAAATTCTATCTGCTTCATGATTTAATCTCTGTGAAAATAAAAATTAAGTATCTAGTGCTTAAATTACAGTTAGTTTAAATTCATTTAACTTAGTGAAGCCTTTAGAGACCACCTGTACTTGGAAGGCTTTATTTTTAAAACTGAATCTAGATAAATTTAGGACAGTAGTTGTTGCTTGAGTCAATATTCTATATGAACTTTTTTTTTTAATTTTTTACTCTGCTTTTTTTTTCTGACTAAAAAAAATAAGCCTGTAATGAATTTATAGAAACGCAGCCTCAGTTTTAGCTCTCTTGCCCTGAAATGTCCATAACGTTACCCTTTTATCTGAAGTTGCTGGATTTTATTCTGGTCAGCAAGCCACAATTTTCGTTTTATGAAAAATTTTATTTTTTTATAGTACAAAATTAAAACTATCCAGGATTTGGTCAGTTTAAAGGAATCAGATCGCCGTAGTCTGCTACACTTCCTTGAAGATGATAAGTATGAAGAGGTCATGGCTGTCCTTGGGAGTTTTCCGTATGTGACTATGGACATAAAGTCACAGGGTAAGTGGGGGCCCTCCCTGCTGTGCATTGGGTGATTTGGCTCATGTATTTGACTCATATTCATTCTTTTCCTTCCTCCCCATCTCACTGTGTTGTCCTGTAGAGCATGCATTGACTATGTAGTCCAGGCTTCTTCACACTTGGAAGTGTGCTTTACCGGTGCCGATACCCCAGTCATTCTCCTTGGTTTTTGCTCTTTGAGGGGCCGCCCACCCAGATCCTAAATAAATACACCCGCAGAGTCTTACTCTTACCTATGAATGCCCACCGTTTGCTTGGCTTGTTTCTAGCCAGCTTTTCTTAACTTAATTATGGCATCCACCTTTTGCCTGTGGGCTTTTATCTTTCTGTACCCTGTATACCTTTCTTTACCTTTTACTCTGTGGCTTGCTGTGTAGCTGTGGGACTGGCGCCTGGAGCCCTTTTCTGTCTCTCCTCCTAGATCTGCTCTTCCCAGATTTCTCCTATTTATTTCCTCTGCCTCCCAGCCCTTCCCATACTTGATCCTGCCCTGCTGTTGGCCGTTCAGCTCTTTATTAGACCATCAGGTGCTTTAGACAGGCAGAGTAACACAGCTTCACAGAGTTAAACAAATGCAAGGTAGAAGAATGCAGCACATCTTCGCATCACTAAACAAATGTTCCATGGCACAAACAGCTATAACACATCTTAAAATAATATTCTACAACACAGTCATCGTGGACCACTGTGTCTGCTTTTAAAAACACTTTAGTAACGTCATTTGTAGTTAGACTTTGCAGAGCTGTAGTTCTCTGGTTAAAACCCTGCTTTTATGTTTGTTACAGTTGTGCTAAGTACAAGGTTGTGTATCAGTCGTCTATAATTGGAAATTAGTTCTCAGTGAGGATATGAAAGATTTAACCTTAGTTGAATTCTTCACACATGGATCTGGGCAGGCAGTCATGCTCAGAGTGCAGACTGCACCCTCTCCCTATGGTTCTTGCTTTATTGTTCATGTCATGGGCTGCCACTCTTGTCTTGAACCCTGGCTATGCTATGTGGTCTTTTCTTAAATTGACGTATTGAAAATACTAGTTGTACCCTCTGTGCCTCTGGACCCGTCGGCAGCTCTCACTGGACCATCATGGGCTCTTCCTCCTTCAGGGCTTTTCCGTGGAGTCCTAGTATGATGACAGATTTCAAATATATTGTTAAATAGTTATTTAGTGCTGAAATCGACATTTATCTATAGTAAGCTTAGAAAATTAACAACAACAATTTAATAAAATAAAATAAAAAAAAAAAAAAAAAAAAAAAAAAAAAGGAAAAAAGCCAGGTGATGGAGCACACCTTTATTCCCAGCACTCGGGAGGCAGAAGCAGGTGAATCTCTGTGAGTTCAAAGCCAGCCTGTTCTACACTGTAAGGTCCAGGGCAACTGAGGCTGTCACACAGAGAAACCCTGTCACCAGGGAAACAGTTCAGGAAGAAAGAAAACAGAATTACCGTGTGGGTGTGTGTTTTATATCTCTGTCTTTGTATCTGTTTCAGTGAAAACACTTTCTACCTACATAATTGCCCTGTCACCATTTTAGTAGCTGAGTAGTACTTTGAACACAGAATTACAGATTATTGGTTTATTCTGTCTGTGGTATAGTTCTGAGTTGTAACACTCACCAGTTCACTGTTGAGAGAACACTCTAGGTATACCTAAAGAATGCAGGAAAATGTTAGGAATAGTTCTGTCTTTAAGGAGTTCATGGTCTAGTTGAGATTAGGATTAAAAACAACATAATGGATGCTGTTATGTGATGACAGACATTTTGCCTTATAATCTTTTAAAAAACCATTGAGTGCTGTGTGCTTTTACCGGTATCTGGAGATCTATGCTTAAGGCACTTTGCCTTACTGAATTTGTATTCTGATATAAATGAGAAGTAAATGATTTCCTAAAATTGGGACGCTAGGGACAGGGAACCAAACAGTGTCATTTGGTTTCAGCTTGTCTAGCCTATAGGACATTTGCAAAGTATTTACACATAGACAACTTTTTCTGGGATTTGGGATTCCTTTTAGATTGGTGAGTTTTTAGACTTTAAGATCCCTGTCTAAGTGCTGCATTTAGAGGCTGGAGTTTCCTTTTAGATTGGTGAGTTTTTAGACTTTAAGATCCCTGTCTAAGTGCTGCATTTAGAGGCTGGAGAGGCCTCGGAGGTTAAGAGCACTTGCTATGCCAGGTGGTGGTGCACACCTTTAACACCAGCACTTTGGAGATGAAGGCAGGCAGATATCTCTGAGTTTGAGGCCAGCCTGGTCTGCAGAGCAAGTTCCAGGACAGCCAGGACTGCACAGAGAAACCGTCTCAAAACACCAATAACAAAACAAAAAAACAAAACAAAACAGAAACCCAAAAACCACTCACTGCTTTTGCAGAGGACCCAGGTTCAATTCACACTCCCACCTGGTAGCTCTTGTCCACCTATAACTCCTTGGACACTAGCCTCACATGGTGTGCACATGCATGCCTGCAGTGATTCACACATATGTGTACACATGCATGCCTGCAGTGATTCACACATATGTGTAAAATAAACATGAGTCTTTAAAAACTGCATTTAGGGATTTAGTGTTTTAATCGAATCAGATTTGGGATTTATAATTATATTATAATCAGTTGTTGTAAAACATACATGCTTAGAAAAATAATCTTTGAAGAGGTTTGTTTTCAAGAAAATTAAGTGTAGTTGGCTTTTTGTTTGTTTGTTTTTGTTTTACTCTTTGATCTTTGGGGGCCCACCGCCCACTCAGCTCCCAAGTAAATACATGGAGTCTTAATTCTTATTTATAAATGCCCAGCCATAGCTTGGCTTGTTTTTAGTCAGCTTTGCTTTTGCCTCTGGGATTTTACTTTTCTTTATTCTATATCTCCTTATTACTCTGTAGCTGGCTGGGCAGCTGGCCACTGGTATCCTCTCCTCCTCCTTTTCCACATTCCTTTTCTCTTTCTTCTTCCCTATTTATTTTATTTGCCTGGCAGCCCTGTCCATCTCTCTTCTGCCCATCTTCTGGCTATTCTGCTCTTTATTAGGCTAATCAGGTGTTTTAAACAGGCACAGTAACACAGCTTTACAGAATAAAAGAATGCAACACATCTTTGCATCACTAAACACATATTCCACAAGATAAAAGAATGTAATACATCTTAAGCTAATATTTTACAAGTAAGAGTTCATTTTACTGTGTTATTTGTATGTATCATAGGATTCACATAGTTTGAAGAAAGAGTAGAGATTAGAAGACCAGTGCTTAACATGGTGGTGGAGATGATTGCTTTCCCTTTATCACTAGAGGCCATGTAGCACCCCCTTAAAACACTAAACATGTGTACACATTGATGCAGTAGATGTCACAGGTACTGCAGAATGAGAAATGTGCTCATGTGTCCCAGGCTTGAGTTGTAATAACAGGAGCTTCTCAGGTGGAGAAAGGGTAGCGTTCCCTTTCTTGATCCACACGTGGTACCTCATAACTAGTAGTGGCGTTAGCAGTTATAGGTGTTAGAGACCATAAGTTGGTGTATAATAAAGCTGATCACAGTACACTAAACTAAATCTGTAAGCTAAACAAAGTTAGAAAATAGTAAAAACAAAAATTCTCATTGAAGACATTTCTTACAGATCAAATCTGTAGGAAAATGAGCTGATATCAATGGAGTAGAAGTTATGAGTAGTAAATGGTCTTTCTCATTGCTCTGACAAAATTACCTTGCAAGCACTTTAAGGCTTTGAGAGTACAGCCCATGGTGCTGAAGTCTTGGCAGCAGGGGCAGGAGGCAGCAGGACACGTCCTATCTGCAGTCAGGAAGCTGCTGCCCAGCTGCCTTCGCCTTAGTCAGTGCAGGCCATTACCCTGGCCCAGAGGAGTGAGCTGCCCACCTCAGTTAACTCCCCTGCCTAGGTACCACTACAGCATTCTCGAGAAGTTTATTTTTATTTATTATATTGTAGTGTATGGAGCTCTATGGCAAAATTAAACGATTGCACATGCTACTCTGTTTAGTAATATCTATTACAAAAGAAATACTCTTTTCTGTTCTTATTTTTTTATTTGGTGGCTGGTTTCATTTTCATTAGTTCATGGTAGCCCTAAACCCTCAGCAATCTATCTGCCTTATTCTCTTGTATGATGGGTTTACAGGACTGATAACCATACTTGGCCTACCAAAGAAAATTCTCCCCAACTTTCTGTTTTGAAATCATTTCAAATTTAGAGGTACATTACAAAAATAAATGTTTCCATTGCCCCCTTTCCATAATAGTCTTGCTGCATACTATATATTTGGTACATAATAAATTATATATAGCTATGGACAATTGGCATTTATTAATTTAATAACACCTATTATAAAGTTGCATGTTATTGGCAGCAGTATTTTTGTGTGTAGAGGAGGTGTGTGTGTGTGTGTGTGTGTTGCATGCACATATGTGGATGTGTAAGCATGCCGAGACTACAGCGGGATGTTCAGTGGTTTTCTCTATTGCTCTTTTCCCTGTTGCATTGAAGTAGGTTCTCTCACTGAACCAGAAACTAGCCTTTTTGGCTAGGCTGGACAGCCAGCTAGCTCTCCTGTTCCACTGGTCTCCACTCTGCAATGCTGGTATTACATGTACTTTACATGCCTGGCTTTTCATGTGGGTGTGGACAGTTCACACTGTGGACGTAATGCTTGCAGAGCAAGCACTTTACCATCTTTTGTGCTCTTTTAGTTACTTTTTTATTGCTGTGACGATACCATGACCAAGGCAACATAGAAAAGAAAGCATTTAATTGGGACTTAACTTAGTTACACAGGATGAGTCCATGACTATCACGTCACGGAGCCTGACAGCAGGCAGGCAGGAGGGTGGGCAGGCGGGCGGGCAGGAGGGCAGGCGGGCACTGGAGCAGTAGCTGAAAGCTTTCGTCCTGACCTGTGAGTTGGAGGCACAGAGAGATAATGCAGGACTCAAAGCCCACTGCCAGTGACACATCTCCTCCAATGAGGCCACGCCTCCTAATCCTTCTTAAAACAGTTCTACCAACTGGGCACCAACATTCAAATAAGAGCCTGTGGGGACCATCCTCTTTCAAACCACAGCACATGCTGGGCAGTATACGCTTAAAAATATGGAACTCTACACGAGTTTGCATGGCATTCTTGCACACAGGCAACACTAAACTTCTGTCTGTTGTTCCAGTTTTAATATGTCTGTACAAAGCTAACACTTAAAAAAGCTTTTTAGTGCAAAGGAAAATTTGAAGTTACTGCTTTAATTATTGTCTCCTTTAAATGTTTAAGGTCATTTGGAATGTTTTCATTATTTTAGTCTCACAGACAGACATTGGTTGGAGAAGTAAAATGAGAGAGTATCTGCAGAGTTGGTTTTGAAATTTGTCAGTACCAGTGCAGCTGTGAACCTTGGTTTCTTAAAGTGGGAAATACATCATAAAAGTCTTTCAAGGGTTAAATAAAGCAGTTGTTGAACATACCTGGAGGGTTTCACAGGATAGTTAATAAGTTATTTTTAATAAGCTTAAAACATAATACTTCAAAATACTAAAGTACCAGGTTGTTTTGGGCAAGTCAGATGTTGCTGCTTGCATTGACTTGGACTTGTTTTCTCTATTTTGCTTGATCCCTCGTGTCTTACAGTGTTGGATGACGAGGACAGCAACAACATCACAGTAGGGTCCCTCGTTACAGTCTTGGTTAAATTGACGAGGCAGACGATGGCCGTAAGTAGTTTATTATTTATTCACACATATTTATTATTTTGAAGGCTTGTTTGTATATTTGTTGGTTTTGTGTACATGCACATGTGTTTGCACATGGGTGCATGTATATGTGTGTAGACTACAGGTCAAAATCTGATGGTGCAGTGGTGTTTGCCAGTCTAGTGAGGCTTCCTGGCCAGCCAGTTCCAGAAACCCACTTGTCTATCTCCCTACTACTGGAATTATAAGCACGTGCTGTCCATTGTGCCTGGCTTCATTTTTAAATTTTTTTTAAATTCAGTCATTTTGCATATACAAATGTTTTGCCTGTGTGTATACATGTCCACCCTGTGAGTGCCTGGTGCCTTCACAGATGGGAAGAGGGCATTGGCTGCCCTGGGTCTGTACTTGTGGATGGCTGCTAGCGATAACATGGGTGCTTGTATTGAACCCAGGTCCTTGCAAGAGCAACAAGTATTCTAAACTACTAAGATGCCTTTTTAGGCCCCCACCCTACCTTTTACACGTGGGTCAGTTCCTCATGCTTGTGTGGCTAGCACTTCGCCTGGCTTGAATATTGTTTTATGTTTGAGACAGGGTCTTACTATGTAGTCTACACTGCCCTGTTACGTTTGGCTCAGCTTCCTGGGGGCTGTGACTACAGACATGCACATCCCACTTAATGTGTAGTTGTGTTTTCATGCCTCATGAGTTAAGATTTTTGTGCTTATTTTTCTCAGTTTAAGTGTGTTTTTAAAACTTGTAACAAGACCTAAATGGAAAAAGTTCTGTAGATGCTTTATAATTTATGATAGTTTTCATGGGTACTAAAAACTAGAAATAGGTTCATTCTTCGTGTTTATGATTGTAAGTATAGTTTTTATACTGATATGTGATGGTTATGGAAATTGTTAATTTCAGTACCTTCATTTTAGTAAATTCTTTAAGAGTTTTAGTTTTCTTCAAAATATTTAAAATTTACACTGGAAATAACTTTCAGATAATGTGAAAAAGATATAATGCTTAGAAAGAAATTTAAACATGATGGTTACTCTGAAATCGATGTGTGCTGTACAGCTTAATGTTTTGGGTTTTTGCTTGTTTTGTTCTGTTTATGAAAACCCACTTTTTCACGCCTGTCCATGCTCGTGTCAGCCTCAGATGGCTGCTCATTGTCCTTCCATATTAATTCCGAATCTCTGCAGTGGGTTTGTATATACACATAACCACGTACATTGCTTTACTCCTTTAAAATACACTTGCGTGTGTGCCTTCCACTTTTTCTCTCCATTTCTGTTACGTGTTTATGCTACTTTTCAAGTCCATTAGTAAAGTTATCACTCATGTATTTGTAGCTGGACTTATCAAATACAATGTTTAATTTATGGTATTAAGTGGTAAGGAAGTATTTGGGTAAATTTTGACTCAAGATTAAAAAACAAAAAAGGTGCCTCTTAGGAACTCTAGACCAGTGCCACAATTGGTTTAAGACGTTGAACTACAAAATATGCTTTTTCAATTGTTTTAGACGCAGTATTTAAATACAGCAGACATTTAAATAAATGGTGTCAACTTGGGCTCAGGAGGCTGAGGCAGGGGGATTATGAATTCTGGCCAGTTGGGTTACATGATGAGACCCTGTCAAAACCACAAAAACAAAGTGGTGACACCAGTTTATCGTCCTCTTAGGCTAGCCTGTCCCTTGTAGAGCTTGTTTGTTTTCATTTATTGGCTGCATAATTCTAAGACATTTCTTTCTCTTTCTGTTTTTGTTTTGTTTTGTTTTGGGACAGGGTTTCTTTGTGGCTTTGGAGGATGTCCTGGAACTAGCTCTGTAGACCAGGCTGGCCTCAAACTCATTGAGATCTGCCTGCCTCTGCCTCCCGAGTGCTGGGATCAAAGGTGTGCGCCACCACTGCCCGGCTCTAAGACATTTCTTAAGCACAACCTATACCACTTGTCAATTTCCAGTATGCATCTTACTAAGTTCTAATTGAACTTTAAATTGTAAATTGATAGTTCTAGTGTTGATTCTGATTAAATTATGTGATTACTAGATATGTTTTAAAGATATACGTATGGATTTTCTTGGTAATCTATTAATAATAATGAACAAACTTATAGTGGTTCCTTAAAGGTGAAAACTAGAATAATATGATATACTCAAATTCTCATTAAAATATTCTTGCTTAATTCCTAATAGAATAAAATGAACTTTTAAATTGGAATATTTTTGACTTTATAATGAATTTGCCTATATTAAGTCACTGAATTTGTTAACTTAGGAGGCTGTACTTTTCAGAGTCTATTTTTAACAGCTATAAGGTACTTCAGACAGTTGCTCTCTGCGTATGTACAGATTTAGGACTGCCAAGCTTACTCACCCTCTCAATTGCAACTAATTGACAAAACCTTTATAGATAGACATTTTTAAAATATTTTGTGTTTTATGTGAAAGACAAACGTGGGCTTATAGATGTCGTTGTTCTTGTTGCCTCTAGGAAGTATTTGAAAAGGAGCAGTCCATCTGTGCTGCTGAGGAACAGCCTGCGGAAGACGGGGTAACACTTGCGTTTTCTTACTTCTTAATGAAGAGATGTTCTGTGTGCTGCTTTGGTTGGCTTGTATCACTGTGGGGTGTAGTATAGTTTGTGAAAACACACATTTTTATCAGTTCCTTCTAAAAGTGACTGTTAAGCCTTAGTAGCCGCATGTGGTTTGCAGCAGAGCGATGCCAGCAAGATCAAGGCAAGAGGAGGGTGGCAACAGAAGAGCAAAGGACCCAAGAAAATGCCCAAGTCCAAAAAAAAGAAGCCTTTAAAAAAGAAGCCCCCCGCGGTGCCCGTGCCTCAGGCGAAGCAGCAGAAGCAGAAGCAGGCCAATGGAGTTGTCGGGAGTGTAAGTCTGCTGCCCTTGTCTCTGTGATTGATCTGTAGATAGCAGACGGCTCAAATACGCACACAGCTTCTCAAGTTCACATGTGAATCTGCACATTAAACCCGAGTCGAGATTCGCCTCCCTCCCTTACTCCTCCCTTCCTAATGCTGGAAACTGAACCAGTGTCTCATGCACACTAGGAAAGTGCTCTACCCCGAGCTATGCCCAGCTCAAAGATTTAAAGCCCTGGGCTTGAGAGGTGGCGCAGCAGTTACGAGTGTCTACTGTTCGTACATCGAACCTGAATTCCATTCCTAGCACCGCACCTGTGTTGGCGGCTCACAACTCCCTATTCCTCCATTTCCAGGGGATCAGTTATCATTCATACTCAAGGTGCACATACCACACATAGATACAGGCACATACATGCACTTATGAACAAAAACAAATATTATAAACCTTATTAGCATTCAGAAGAGCTCCTGTATGTCCTTTCATAGTCAGCGATTCTTCCATCGAGTGCTTCATCTCTCTACCCACTCCTGTGACTGTAGTCACTGTAATTTTACTTATTAGTAAATTTCACATAAATGACATAATTCTCTAGGATTTATTTTATGTGCATGAGTGCCTGTATACATGTCTTTGCATCACGTATGTGCAGTACCCTGGAGAGCCAGATACAGCCAGAAGAAGGTGGGTTCTCTGGACCTGGAATTGCAGAGGTTGTTAGCCGCAGCATGGCTTCTTTAGAAAAGTCGGTTCTCCTAACCACCGTGCCTTCTCTCTAACCCTGACATTCTTTTCTCCAACTCGCCCCCCCTTGCCCACTCCCTCCCTCCTTATCTAGACCAGAATGGCTTCACATGTACGGACATACCCATGCCTGTGCTGCTTGGGTGCTTGGATTAAAGATGTGTGCTATAATGCTGACTCTTCCTTCCTTCCTTCCTTCCTTCCTTCCTTCCTTCCTTCCTTCCTTCCTTCCTTCCTTCCTTCCTTTCATGACAGGCATAGTGAGGTAGGGGTAGATGGATGAGTCTCTGAGTTGGAGACTACCCTGTTCTACAGAGCAAGTTCTATGACAGCCAGGGCTACACAGAGAAAAACCTTCTTAAAAAACAAACAAATAAAAAAGAATTATCCATGAGTCTATGTGAACGTATGCCATTTGTGTGTATGTTTGCATATTTGTGCCGAGTGCCTGGACTCTAAAGAAGGGGTCATCTCTCCTAGAGCTGCAGTTAACAGGTTGTCATGAGCCTCCTGGTACAGAACTGAACTCACGTCCTCAAGATCAGTGCTTGCTCTTAACCCTTACACCATCTCTCCAGTCCCTAGTTTTTATATTATGTGTATGGATCTTTTGTCTTTGTGTATGTATGTGCAGTACATGTGTGCCTGGTGCTTGTGAAACCAGAAGAAGGCGTTGGATTCCCTGGAACTGGAGTTACAGGTATTTGTGAGTCACTTTGTGGGTGTTGGGACTCAAACTCAAGTCCTCTGCAAGAGCAGCCAGTACTCTTCACTGCTGAGTCATCTCTCCAGCCCCTCAGTCTTCCTTTAAACATTTAAAAACCATTGATTGATTGATTGATTGATTGTGTCTGCATGTTTGTGACATGTATGGAGATCAGAGGACAGCTTGTTCTTTCTGTCATGTGGGTCCCAGGGATTGAACTCAGGTCATTAGGCTTGGTGGCAAACACCTTTACCCACTGAACAGTCTTCCTGATCCTGGCTCAAGGTTTCTTACTTTTGTATTAGTTGTAGGGATAGTCGAGATGGAAAGAAACTGCGCATGTGTGTATTCCAGTGCTATTTTATTACATAAACACAGTCTCTCTGTTTGGGTTTGCCATTTTAATCTAACCTAGCTAAAGGTGCTTTTGTAATATACTCTCTGTGCATGGTTATTATGGTCATTTTCTACACAGAAGTGGGGCTGAGTCATAAGGAGTTGTGTTTAACTCATCAGTAGAACCATTTTCCGAATCCTGCCATTTTAAACCACCCCAGCTAAGGCTGGGAGTCCAGTGCCTGTGCTCTAGCCTCTACTTGGTTTCCCTTCTTTTGGTTTAACCATTTGGGTGGTCTGTGGTGATGTTATGTTGGTTTTCATTTATATTGACCTAATGATTTGAGTGGGTTTTTTTTTTTTTTTTAAATGTACTTAGTGGCCGTTCTGTTAGTCTTGCTCATGGATTGTTTGTCTTAAGGATTTGATGGAACCCTTTATGTATTCTGGGTATGAGTAGCTTTTTGATTACTTTAGTTAAATCTATTTTAGTTTTAATTTTTTTAATGCCTTTTACAGCTGGGTGTGGTGATACACACCTTTATGTATTTAATCCCACAGCACTTGACGGCAGAGGCAGGTGTCTCAGTCTGGTTGGCTGCATACAGAGATCTAGGCCAGCCACAGCCACATACCCATACTTTATCCCAAATTTATTTTCTACTCTTTGAGAATTTTACACATACATACAGTGTATTTTGATCATAATTGTCCAATAACTCCTCCCAGATCTACTCCACATTCCTGTCTCCTTTAAAAAAACATAGTCCAGTAGTCCAGTTTGTGCTATGTGTATACTCATGAGTGTGGGACCGTACACAGAATATGGTGAACCTGCCAGGGGCCACACCCTTAACTGACTTTTCTTGCCCTCAAACCATCATTAATCAATAGTTTCTATGCTGTGGATTGGGGCTTCATTCTGGAATGTTAACTAGTTTGATCTTGTACAAGCAACCACAGCTGCTGTGAATTTATTTTAATATTACCTTCAGCTATGTGATCTATTTTGAATGAATTTCATTGATAATGTAAATTATGGAATATTTCAGTATTTATTGAAGATACAGTTCTTTTCTCTTGAATTGCAGTGCTGTTTTGTGTAGAACAGGTGGCCATATTACTTGTAATGTGTCACTGCAGATGCTGTAGTCATTGCATCTGCTTATTCTTTGCCAGTCATACTAGCTTAATTGTAGATTAAACTCTAAATTCCCCAGCTTGCAATTTTACTTATTTTCTTAACTATTTTTCATCCAGGTAAACATTTAGAGTGAGTGATAATTTTCACTAAAAAGTCATTCTGGATTTAGATTAGCATTAATTGAATCTATGGTCTGATAGGGGGAATGAATATAGCATTTTTGCTTGGTCTTTGTTCACTCACATTTATTGCCTGTCTTTATAAATTTAGATCTTCTTTAACTTTCTCCAGCAGTGAAGGACAGGTGTGGCACAACTGTACTGCTTATGCACTGGGTAACTTTGGTGTAATTTTAAATGACATTTAGTTTCATTTTCAGTAGCTATTACTGCTTTGTAGGAATATAGCAGCTATATCTTAAAGAATTAAAGAAGTCTTAGTGACTTGCCTTGGTTTCAACATTTGTAGGTGTTTTAATAAACTCCCACATAAGCAGTTGTATCCTTTGTGAGTAAAGACAGTTTTACTCACAAGTTTTGTTTTTTTCCTCTTAATATTTTTTCTGTCTTTGCCTTTCTTTGCTGGTGAGAACTTTGGTTGTGAATAGTGAAATTCTGATATTGAGCCAGCTCAGTTGTGTTGACATTAAATTAGCTTCAGAGACTCAGAACAATGTATGCTGACTTCCAGAACTTTCGTTTTTGCTCTTGTCTTATAGGAAGCTTCAATAAAGGAGGAAGAAGATGACATTTCCGACAAAGGCAGTGATTCTGAAGAGGAAGAAACCAATAGAGATTCCCAGAGTGAAAAAGATGATGGTAGTGACAGAGAGTCTGATAGAGAGCAAGATGAAAAGCAAAACAAAGACGATGAAGCAGTAAGCCCTGTGTGATGGCCCCTGTCTCCCCTACCCGTGTTGTGTGAGGATAGATCGAGCTCAGGCTTGCTAGTTTGAATCACCGGGGTCAGGCTTCTGGTGATCCCTGGAGCTGCCTGTTGAGTCCTTTGCTTGTTTACTTGCCTTAAAAACTCATCCATTTTAGATTTGTATTACTTGAAGGTTTCACTTGTTTTGAGGAATTCCTGTCAGTGATTATAAAGGAAAATCATTTCAAACAAGGATTGGAAATCCTAGTTTTCTCAGATTTGTTGAAATTACGAAATGGAGCCGATTCTGTTCAGTGGTGGAAGATGTCTGTGTAATTAGGAGTAAGGGAAGGTGGGAAGGAGACAGGGGCAGCCCGTGAAGGTCCCCTCCACGGGTTCCAGATCCTGCTGAGAAGAAACATCACTGCAGACCTGATGGTGGAGAGTCAGTTGAAAGGGAAGCTTTTAGAATGTCACCTTGTTTTTGTAAGGTGATTAAAGAGTTTATTAAGACGGTGAGGTACATTGTATGTGCATCAAACCTCACTTGATTTTTGGAAATGATGCAGAAGAGAATACGCAGGAGAGTCATTGCAAATGAAGTGTATACTGAGCTCTGTTCACTTGCTCTTTTAACAGGGTTATAAATCCAAAAGTAACCTCATGGTTTGTGATAGAAAAAGCGATCCCCTGAGATAGAGTAGTCTCTGAGGCGGTAGGGAGTCTTGGAATAGGTGGGGAGTGGATTGCAGAGGAACAGGGAGCTCATGGACCTACCTATCGTTGGGAACAGAGAAAGCAAGTAAAGACGAGTCTGCTAGTTCCTCTGCCATGGTGCTGAAATTAAAGGCATTCACCACTCTGTCCAGCTACAGATGAGTTTCTTTAGAAGACCAGGCATAAGCAATTAACCAACAGAGTCATAGTCTATTTCATCCTAAGCATGATTTAGTCTATAGGGTCCAAGACAAATACAAAATAGCTTTTGCCTTAGAACATCCTGGCTGTCAGGACCAACAGACTTAAAATAAATGTTATGTTGTTTACAGGAATTAATACATGTTATGCAAACTGTAGTAATGGCACAGTAGTGTGATGGTTAAGTTCTAAGACAGAGGAACATTCTTGGGAGGATTTTCTTGGGAGTTGATATAGTAGGATTTCACTGTACTGAATTAGGAGTAGGAGTTTACAAGACTGACGGTGTGACCAGAAACCCCCAGGGTTTAGGGCAAGTGCACTGGGTTAGTAAGTTCAGAGAAGTGTAGATAGTTCTGATGATAAGAACAAAATGGACAAGGAAGGGAGCAATGGTATAGGCTCAGGGCCAGATCTGGAACAGGAGTGTCAGTGTGCTGTGGGACTTAGAGGCATAGTTACGGTTGTGCCAGACAATGATAAGATTTGTGGAAATGAACTTATAATCCTCAATAGCTGGTTGGCATCGTCAAAAGAAAAAGCTAGAAACTCTCCATTAAATAGTCTCTACAAGATACCAGATTTTAAGTATTCTTTTTTTTTTTTTTTTTCCTTTTTTCTCCTAGGAGTGGCAAGAGTTACAACAAAGCATACAGAGAAAAGAGAGAGCTCTTCTGGAAACCAAGTCAAAGATAACGCACCCTGTGTACAGTCTTTACTTTCCCGAGGTGAGTTGTACCCAGCCTAGTGTTTCATTATTCTATTTCTTCTTTCCTCATACTTCCCATTCTATTTGGACTGCTTTGTGGCATGTTTGTTACTCCAAAGTGTAATAACTGGTGTATTTTTGTTTGGTCACTCTCTTAGTTACCATTTTATTGCTATGAAGAGACAACATGATCATGGCAACGCTTATAAAGGAAAGCATTTAATTGGGGCTCATTACAGTTTGGAGCTTTAATCCATGGCAGCATACAGACAGACAAGGTGCTAGAGAAGGATCTCAGAGTTCAACATCTGGACCAGCGGAAGTAAATAGGCTTGAGCTCCTGAGACTTTTAACGTCTGCCCTCACAGTGACACACTTCCTCCAACAAGGCCACACCTATCCCAACAAGGCTATAATACCTCCTAATAGTGGCACTCCTTATAGGCCAAATATCCCGACACATGAGTCTATAGGGATCCTATGTGTTCAAAGCACCACAGTCTTCCTCCTAATAAAGGGTAGGGTACACTATAATATGAATAACTTTCCGTGATTATGTTGTTTACAGGGGTATTAACTTTCTAAGTTTGTATGATTTTCTGTGCCTCTGTATCTCTGCTCCTATTACCTAGTGTTGTGCTCAATGGCTATTTGCATTTAGTAGTGAGAGGAGGCTTTATGAGATGAATGCAGTGTTTTGACTTTGGTTCACCTGCATCTGCCTCCCTAGAGCTGAGATTGAAGACGTGTGCCACCATGCCTGCGTCTGCCTGCTTTTGCATGTGATAATGTATTGTGAACAAAGTTTATTTGAGCACAACTTTCTTTTTTCATTCTTTTCTCACTGCAACAGCAGACCTGACATCCATAAAAGTCTCCATTAATACTGCATGTTGAGATTGTTAGGTTTGTATAAACTGTGTGCATGAATGAAACACACACACACACACACACACACACACACACACACACACACACACACCCCAGAAATCATCCCACGGCCTCGGCAATCCTCAGGTTAAATGGAAATGAATTTGTTATTAGGAGCTGTTCTCAGCATTACACGTTTGTGATTACTTGCTAGCCTTAATCATGCTGAGTGGTTTGTGGCCTATGGAACTCAACAGAAGAACTTTTGGTTGCATTTAAAGTAGCATTGTTTAAAAAAAATATAAAAGTAATAATGGAAAGACAGAAGGGCCAGTGAGATGGACCAGCAGGTACATGTCCCTCTTTAGCCCCTCGACCTGGGTCCCAGCCCTGGTACCCACATGGAACTGACAGGGAGGACCGATTCCACTGGTTGTCCTCTGACCGCCACACATGCATCACGGCATGCATACACCAACATACATACAAACATTAAAAAAATGTCAGTAAGTCACCTTAAAGGGTAAAATAAATGGAAAAGATTGGGATTTATAAATAGAAATATTTCTCAGAGAAATTTACTATTTCAATAATTTTTTATTTTATTTTTTTTAAACAGGGTATCTTTGCTCTTATCTATAGATTTTTTTTTTTAAGTGTTAGAAAATTGAGAGTTTAGGATATGATAGTGCTATTTTGGCTAAATGTATATTTAGCACATCCTAGAGTTTATTTTTAGTGTCCAACAGTTTTCTTTAAAACAGGTATCTTTCCCACTCAGTCCTTAAAACAAGAGATGTTGAGCAAATGTCTAGCAGTGTTCACTAATGGGAGGCGTAGCACAGTGATGGTGATTGGCACACCAAAGCGAGGCATGGTGCATGCTGACTGCTTGGCTTTGGGTTCATTAATAAAATCACTTTTTGCCTTTGTTGTATCATTTCTAATTCCTAGCTCTCGTTGTGCATTCTAGTGGTGGTTTCCTAATGAGCTTTTTGTATTCCGATCTTTCAGAAATTCAGCCAGAAATGCTGAGCTTATTAAATTAGTAGTGTGCAATGAAAGATAAATGTACTTAAAATCTGAGGTGTTCTCTTATAAGTGTAAAGCGTTTACTGCATTGGTATTTTTATTGGGCTGCCCAAGTCTGTTCCACTCATACATTGGTTTTTGCTTATCACTAGGTAGAATAACTGATTTTTTTTTGTATGATATAATAATTGTTTTCCTTTTTAGAATATCTTTTAACATCTTAAAGTAAATCATAGATTTTTAATGTTGAGATCCATTAATGGAGCTGTTGAGACTCCAAGAGCTACACAGGGGATTATTTGGGGAGCCGTGCGAATGTCCTGCAGTGGTTTTGTACCGTTGGCGCATGTGCTGGGCGCTGTGCCGTGCTGAGGATGCAGCACTGAGCAGGACAAGGACAGCGCGCCCTTAAAGTAAGACAGTTTGCTGCTTCTCCAGTCCTCCCTGACGGCTCGCGCCCTCTCTTTTTCTTTTTCCCTTGCAGGAAAAGCAAGAGTGGTGGTGGCTCTATATTGCAGACAGGAAAGAACAGACACTAATATCCATGCCGTATCATGTGTGTACACTGAAGGACACAGAAGAGGTGATGAGCCGACGATATTTCTGCTTTAATGTCTTACACTTCATGATGCTTTATTAAAACTTTTATTGTCTATGTTTTTTGAGACAGGGTTTCTCTGTATAACAGTCCTGGCTGTCCTGGAACTCTTTATAGATCAAGCTGGCCTCGAACTCACAGAGATCCATTTGCCTCTGCCTCCCTAGTGCTGAGATCAAAGGTGTGTGCCACCACCACCCAACTACTTTAAGTTTTTATTAATTCTATTTATTGTAATTTGCTCATTGCATGTGTGTGTTTGTTTTTGTTGGGGTTAGCTTCAGGATCTCTATGTAGCTGACACTGGCTTCGAACTCCTGATCCTTCTGCCTCTGTTTCCCAGGTTTTGGGATTACAGACTTACATTACCATACCAGGCAACTTACTGTAGGCAGAAGTTTCTGTCCCGGCCACCAATTCCCAAATAACTGACATGGAGATTCAATATTAATTATAAATGCTCGGTCAATAACTCAGGCCTGTTACTATCTAGCTCTTACAACTTAAATTAACCCATTTCTATTAATGTATGTATTGCCATATGGCTCAGGGCTTCCCCTGTCCTCCAGCGTGTCTTGCTCCCTCTGTGTGTCCTGGTGGGTCTACTAATCCTCCTTTGTTTTCTTACAGCATAGATTCTCAGTTAGCTGTCCCACGCATACTTCCTGCCTGGCTACCAGCCAGTTAGTTCTTTATTAACCAATGAGAGTAATATATGCTCAGAGTATGCAGGAGGATTATTCTACAGTAACTTACATGTTTTGAGGCAGTTTTCCCATTCACTGTCTACAGACATAAACCTTTGTGTCTACTCTTTAGACTCTAATGATATTTTACGTAAAAAGTTAAAATTTGGGGGCTGAAGTGATGGCTCAGTAGTTGAGAGCATTGACTACTCTTCCAGAGGACCCAGGTTCAATTCCCAGCACCCCTGTGACAGCTCACAACTGTCTGTAACTCCCGTTTCAGTGAACCTGACACCCTCACACAGATACACATGCAGGCAAAACACCAATGCACATGAAATAAAGTAAATTATTTTTTTTAAAGCTAAAATTTTTGTTCTTTTGGATTACTGCTAAGTAGACTATACTTTGCCTTGAAAAATCAAAGAACAGGTAATTTACTGTTTCAGTTTGGAATTCATTATTTTATTATGTGCCATTAATTCTGCCCCCACTCCCCTTTATTCTATTTGTCTGTCTCTGTGACCAGTACCTGAGAGAAGGAATTAAAGAAGGGAGATAGAGAAGATGGTTCAGTGGTTAAGAGTAAATACTGATCTCAGAGGATCCTGGTTTAATGCCCAGCGCTTACCTGAGGTGGCTCGTGCTAGCCTGTGACTTTAGTTCCAGGGTATATGGTGGCCTCTCCAGGTATCTGGGTATTTTAAAAGGAGGGAGGATTAATTTCAGAGGGTACACCCATGTTTGGCAAATAGTCAGTTAATTTTAGTTGCACGACAGGTACAGGCATGGAAGTAAACTTGTTCATCTAAGGACAGCCAGGAAGTAGGAGGATAGGGAAGGGCCAAGGACAAGATGAGGTCTTCATAGGCACACGCTTCCTACGACCTACTTCCTCTAGCCAAGGCCCACCTTCCAATAATTGCATCATAGCATAGGTCTTCAGTTCAAGACACACCCAGATATGTGTTTTACTAGTCTGGGTGTTTCTAACTCAGTCAATCAGGATTGACTGCCTTAATGACATTGTAATTTTACTCTCGGGAGCTGTACTCTATTGTACTGTATCTTGGAGAGTGTGTGTGTGTGTGTTCCTTTTTAAGGAAGAAAACTCTGTCAGCTTGGACTTTGACAAATTTCAGGATTGTTGTAGACACTGACTGTATTATTAGTCAGGGTTCTCTAGAGGTCTAGAGGAAAGAACTGATAGAGTGAATGGGGGAGGCGTACAGGCCGTGGTTCATCTAGTCCAGCAATGGGCATGTAACCTCAGAGAAAATCCAAGAATTGTTCAGTCTGAGATGATCTTCAGTATATGTTGGAATCCCAAAGAAATAGGCTCTAATGCCAGGGAAGGAATTCCTCAGCAACAAAATATATGAACTTGCCAATGAGAATGAGGACAAGCAGATAAAAAGCAAAAGAAGCTGCCTTCCATGTCCTTTATGTAGGCTACCGCCAGAAGGTGTGGTCCAGATTTAAAGTGAGTGAAACCATGGCCATAGAAAAGCATGTAATTGGGTTATGGTTTCAGAGGTTAGTACATTATCTAGTGGCAGCACCATGATGCTGGGGCGGTACCAACATCCTGATCTGTGGGCCCAGGAGACAGAGCCTGGGCCACACACCTTCCCAACAAGCCCACACCTCCCGATCCTTCTCAACATATTGCCATTCCCTGGTGCCTAAGCATTCAAATAAATACGTGAGTCTATGGAGGCTATTGATCAAACCACCACACTTAAACACCCCCCCTTGCAGTTATATCACGACGCAAAAATTCATTCAGTACAACTTCAAAAATGCCTGTAATTTGTCACAGCCTCAGCATTGTTTAAAAGTCTCCTTAACTGCAAAATCAAAACAAAAAGTAAATCACATACTTCCAACATACTGTGGCACAGAATGTACATCGCTATTTCAAAAGAAAGGAACAGGAACATAGTGAAGATACATTGGACCACAGCAAGACAAGAAACAAGAGGGACAAACTCTAAATTGTACATCTCCATGTGTATGTGAAATGCTCTTCAATTTTCCACCTCTCTGCAGCCCTCCTTGGCCGTGTCCTGCTTGGCTTGTCCTCTGCCGTAGACAGTTCATATTACCAGTTTTGTGTTTTGGTTTGTTGAAACTGGGTTTCTCCGTATCACCCTGGCTGTCTTGGAACTTGCTCTGTATGTAGATCAGGCTGGCCTTGAATTCGCAGAGATCCGTCGTCTGCCTCTGCCTCCTGAGCACTGGGATAAAAGGCGTGCGCCACCACCACTCAGCAGCCCGTTTTAAATGTATTTTCTTCATGGCATTTCAGGTAAATCAGGTTATTCTCCCTCCCCAGATTTTACAGAAAAATATAATTGAGTGGAAATATGTAATTTTTTAAAAATGTTTTTATATTTTGAGTTTTCATGTATGCATATAATCAGTTTTAGTTGTTTTTATCTCTGCATTGTCCCCTTTGATTCTTTCCCTTGTCTTCAGAAACCGTGTGTGTGCGTGCGCGCGTGCGCGCGCACGCGTGTCTGTGTGTCTGTGTGTCTGTGTGTGAGAGTGTGTGCCTGTGCGTGTGTGCGCGCGAGTGTGCGTGCATGTCTGTGAGTGTGTATGTGTGCATGCGTGTGTGAGCGTGCGTGCTTGTGTGTGTGTGTGTGTGCGCCCACCAAATTTAATTAGCATGCTGAGCATGGGTGGGAGGCTGTTTACTAGAGTATAGGCAACTTTAACCATGGGAAAAAATGACACCCTTGTCCTCCAGCAAATATTAACTGCCAACAGCCCCTCGGGTTGTGGGGCCTTGTTCTCAGGGCCTCTGTCGTTATTTTTGCAGCATACCTGACTCTTGTATTCCTTCTGCCCCTTCTTCTCAGAGCCTTTTTGATTTTAAAGGCATAGAATTTGGTTATTTCAACAGGCCTTATTGAATTGTATACATAGAAACGAACCCCAATAGTTCTGATTAACATGGTTTCCTTTTTGTTTGGTGCTTATAATACAGTAGAGCTCACTCATGTTTGTTATTAGGAGAGTTTCTGTAAGTCACCTGAGGTACTACGAGGCTCCTAAGTACTCTAAGGAAGTTTAAAGACATTCTATTGCTTCTTTTACATAATACAGACTTTTAAGCATTGATTTTTATCTTCTTAGGTAGAACTGAAGTTTCCTGCACCAGGCAAGCCTGGAAATTATCAGTATACAGTGTTCTTGAGATCAGATTCCTACATGGGTTTGGATCAGATTAAGCCACTGAAGGTAAGAATAGTGATGTAAAACAAATGACCAGAGTTCCCGAAGTCTGGTAACCCTTGAGCAAATGTCTGAGGAAGGTATGGGAAGCAGTACCAGTTTGGGCATATAGAATAATGGGAGAAAAAAGCAGTCATCTCATGCTTTTTTAGTAATAGTTCATTTTAAACTGTGAGTTGCTTTAGTGGTTGTTTTAATGTGCTTACAATATTATAATATGTGGCACATTTCAGGGCTTTACCAAGTGTGCTCTGTTCTCTTTAAAAGGCCTGGAGAGGGTGGGAAATAGGACTCAGGTTTCTCCACAGGCCTTACTGGTGTGTTTATTGATTTCTGAAATGAAGGGTTTTTTTTTTTTTTTTGTTTTGTTTTGTTTTTTAATCATCTTAGAGCATAAACTTTATGTAAGGCTTGAAGCACTCTTTCTTTCCCTTGAGCTTTTCATACAAGGCATTCTTTTATATGAGTGAGACTGAGCAAAATCATGTTCCATTGTTAGAATACAGGAGCTGCCTCAGCCATGGAATGTCACTCCCAGCTAAGCTTTGGAAAGCATGCTTGCATTTTTCTTCCTCAGCCAAAGACTTCTAATAAGATACCACTCAGTGTTGTTGCACAGGAAGGAGGACTGTTAGTACTTTGTCATAGAAGTACATTCTTAACTGGTTCGACTTCTACAGGGTCAAAATACCAAGTTATATTAGAAATTCATCTCCATTTCTGTGTAAGTGGGTTTGGTATTTTCATTTGTAGAATGGAGTATTTTTGTGATTTGCCAGGTATTTCTTCCATTATTCCTTTTCAAATTTCTGATGTACATTTAATTCCACCGTGTAGTTGGAAGTCCATGAGGCCAAGCCTGTGCCAGAGAACCACCCACAGTGGGACGCAGCAATAGAAGGCGATGAAGACCAGGAAGACAGTGAGGGATTTGAAGATAGCTTTGAGGAAGAAGAGGAGGAAGAGGAAGGTGATGACTAGCCAGTGTATGTGTGGACCACAGCGTTTGCACACATCTGCAAACATCTGCTGCTTTGTAAATCATAATAAAACACAAGCAGTTGAGAACTGACGTGGAGGGAAGTGTTGGCGTCGTTACTAGAAATGGATACATAAAGTAGGCAGTTGCTGGTATTTAAAGCCTTTCAGGTATGGGGTGGTGCGCTTATATCATCTGCAAACGATAATAAATCCTTTGTTGTTACAACTGTCCAGAAGTGTGGGCTGTGCATTACCTGACCAATTTACGGTCTCAGTCAGAGTCAAGGTACATGAAAAATCAACCTTTGCTCAGCTTTAGTTTTAGTAAACATTAAAAATACGATGATAAACATCACAGATCTGTTTTAAGTAACATCTGCTCAATTTTTATCTGTTAATAAGCTCTGTTGTTCTTTTATCAATATTTCACAAATGGTAAAATTGTAACAGTTCCATACATGAGTTCAAACCTTCACTTTCATCTGTCTTAGCCATCTTTCTCACGCATTCCACACAACACAGAGGGCTACGTTTTGGAATTTTCCGTTCTTAATTGCCCAGAGTTAGCAGACATTATTACCAAAATGGCTTTTGGAGGCTTACGGCCTCTTAGAGCCTCTGTTGGGGTCTCAGCACCAGATCTCGTTCTGATAAGCTCAGGGCCGAAGTGATTGTGGGACCACACATTCTCTGATGCCTGGGTCATGTCATTCAGTCTCTTGAAAAGGGTCACAGTAGAAGCTGGACAACATTCTTAGCTTTTAATCTACCTGACTATCAGAAGCCTTCTAAAGAAAATAATACAGCATACAAAGGAGGCATTTTTGTATTCATTTTGGACTCCTGTTAATAAAATAGAAGTTTGATTCATTTTATGTTTGTAATTGTGTTTGTCTTTTTACTCCTAGAGAAAGGGCATAAATAGGGTAATCCTTTAATTTTCCACTAACATTTTAATGTTGTACCTCACGGTGGAAGTGAGTGCTATCTCTGTGTACTCTTGAACTACCCAGGAGGAAGAGCTATTTTCTCTCATTGAGTACCACCTAAAGGGCAGTGCTCAACATAGAGTAAATGTGTGTGTGGTGGGTCACTGAGGTAAGAGGAATATTTTTATTACTAGATTCGGAGGACACACACGTCTACAATACTATAGGACTGATTGCAATAATCCTATCAAACTCTCCATAGGCCAAAGTACTGTTGCAATAGTAACTTACAACCTTGTTTATTTAAAAGGTTGCTACTCTTCATGCAGAATTATCACTGGTATTTTGTTACTACAGTAGTTGGAAATAAAATTTGAAGATTACCAAACATATGAATTTTTTTGTTGTTGTTTTAAATTTAAGATGTAACACTTAATAGCTGAAGTTTTATTAGACCCTTGCTCGTTGACTGAATGAGACCCTCCCTTCCTCTGCTACTGAGGGTCTGAGTCATTTGTTTCGTTTATTTGTAAGTGTGTGGGTTTGCCTTTCAAATCAGATCTTCCTGGGAAGCTCCAGTGTTGGTTGTAGCTGCTAGACGTGTAAGTGTGAGGGGAGTGAGCCAGCTTGTGTCAGGTGAAGGAGAGAGGCCAGAGAGGCTGGAGAAACAGAATTGTAGTATTTGCACTTCCTAGCTTTTCTGAAGTAGATGGCTCAGGAAAAGTCTCCTCTCGTGGTTGTTTTCCCTGTAGAAGGGTATACAGAGCTCCTCTCTGGTGAGGGTTTTACAGTCCGGTAACAGCACCATGCTTACAAAAACAGCACGTCTTCCATGGTTAGAAATCCGGGACCGCAGGTGAACACCCTCAGTTAGGGTTTCACCTCTACTCAGTCACCAGACTCCACTCCCCCTTTCCTCTGCAGCAGAGGGAATGGCTTGTCCTGGTTTGCATTTAGGTGAAAGTTTTGAGTGTTGCTTCGTCTTTACTCCTATTCAGAACACTGACACTCTGTCAATAGGATGAATGAATACATATGTGCAAACACAGTCTGTACGTACAGAGTGAAATTGATTATAAATGTAATGAAGTGTCGATCAGAGTACAGCCTTCCCCAGGGAGACTTCACTCCCAGCTGAAAAGGGTAGCAGGTGCAAACCTTAGCATTGCTAAGACCCGACTGAGGCTTCAGACTCAAAACCAGTCAGGTGTTTACCTCATCCAAAAGTTAGTAATGTTTGAAAAGAAGCCAACACATTGAATGAGGTTCTGCACGTGGAGCGATCCCCTGTTCTCTGCTCTGCCTTTCCCAGCATGCACCGAAGGGTGGAGAAGGACGGGCTGTTGAGTAGTGCCGCTCTACTGTTTGCTGGGAATCTCGGGCTCTATAGGAGGTGTAGGAGTAGAATGCCAACCCCCCCCCCCATGTGGAACGAGGGAGTTGCATGTCATGAATGTATTGAGACTTTCTTAGCATGTTCTGGTTTTGTTTCTGTGTTTTTGAGACAGAGCCTCACTATATATATATAGCCTAGGCTGGCCTTGAACTCACAGTGCAGCCCAGGTCGTGGACCTTGTGATCCTGCAGCCTCAGCCTCTTGAGTAAGTGGTAGGATCACAGGCAAGAGCCACCACACCTGGTGTTGAACACATTTACTACATTTATTCAGGTATCTTCTCCAGTTAGCTCCTGCCATACCCTGGAGTGTTGCTCAGTAATAATCTGCATTTCAAATGCACTTTGGTACCCTACATATTGTTGAGGGGCTGTTTATCATGTGTTTACTGCGTTTCCATGTCCAGGCTCTGTGACTTAGGCACTGTAGCTGTGTGGACCCTCTTCATGTTACTAACTTACACTTGGCTTGGGTCAGCACACCGGTGGCCATTCATTTTCATGGTTTTCCTTTGGCGTGGTGCCTAATATTTGAATGCCCCCCTCCCCCGCCTTTTCACCAGGCAGAGGGATTGTTGTTATTATTTTAGGAACTAGCTATTGAGTTAGTTGGCCTCTGTCCACCCCCCCTCCCCCTTATCCTCTTTGGATAAAGCAAGACTGGTCCTTTGTTTTTAAATGCTTCTTTTTTGAAGCATTTTCTCAACTCTATGAATCCCCTATGTAGTCTGCCTTAAAGTGGAACAGCTATCGGTGGACTGGAGCATGACGTTTTTATCAGCTGTACAGTGATTAGTTCAAATGTGTCCCAAGAAGTTAGCATCATCATACTCTTAAACCTGACACTAGGGCTATTTACAGACCTTCAGAAACAGAACAGACATGATCTTGTACATTTTCCTGAAACTGAGCTAAAAATCCAAATGTCAATCATGGGCGCTTTAGGACTGGTTTCAGGCAGGTGTGTACATCCCAGGGGTATGCAGATAGTAAGTCTATTGAGAAAATGTTAAAATAATGATTCTTTGTATTTAATCTCATCTTTTAAATTTCTATTTTTGTGTGTTTTATAATGTACATAATATACAGTTGTACACTTATATAATTTATAAATAAATAATACATTTATTGGTGCATTATATATCTTTTTCTGATTTGGGTGCATGATGAAAACATCTGGAAACCACTCTCCTGTGATATAGATAGGGTGACATTTCAGCTAACTGAAGGTTGGGGCTTTTGCCACTCTGCCATTTGACACGACAGTGACGTGCCCTGACACCAGGAGGCAAGGTTACATTTGCTGTGTCCAGCTGGTGGGTGTTTCCTGCAGGGAGCCATGAGACATGGCGGGGGTGGGGGGGCGCTGTCGCTGCTACGAGCTGGGCAGTCAGTAGCTGCTACAAATGAGCAGAGCCCAAACCATGCACAGTGCTAACTAGCCATCCCTTCCATGTCTGCAGATTGTAAAGGGCACAGCTTCCTGGTATTTTCCAGCCTGGTCCCAGTAGAGGGCGACGTTTGGTGGGACTTAACCAAAACCTCAAAAGGGAAAAGGATTTTTTATTTGAGATGGGCTGTTACACGTTCTCAACCATGTCTCAAATTCCTGGACTCACAAATCTCCTTATGACTATAGCCGGTATCACTGTGCCCAGCTAAGAAATGTTTTTGTTTTTGTTTTTTTAATTATCTGCACCACCTAGAATCACCTCCTTCCCCTTTGAACTCTGTACCCTCTCCCACCAACCCTTATCTCCTTACCTGTGCACCTTACATTAATTGTGCAGGGTGAGACAGTCTGCTGTGAGTCCATTGTGCTAGAACTACGGTACACTTCTTGAGAGAAGAGGCAGTGTGGTAAGGTGACGTTCTTTATTGTATAAAGTTTAGTTTTTTGTGTGGTTTAGCTATGCAGTTTTTCTGTTTGTACAAGCTAGTCTGGCACATCTGGGGTGCTAGCTGCGACTCCCCGGCCATGCACAGCCTGAGCTTTGTGTCCTCCAGATTTCACACGGGCAATGCCAGGTGGCTCGGGTAGATGTGCATGTCACCAGAGGAACTTTGAGCTTGGGAATCTAGCCCTTTAAAAGGATGTGTGACAAATCTGTTCACTCTTTACTGTTGTGACAGCCAACATGCCCGCTGCATGAGGGAAATGATGCCTGTCTTCCATGGCTATTGTCTGGGCACACATCTGTGAGAAGGCATTAGGGAACCAAGGCCTGTGTGTGTGTGTGCACACACTCACAGGTGTGTGGAAAGGTAAGGAACAAATGGGCAGTGGCTTTCCAGCACATGGGATTTTGCATGCACAGAAAATATTACACTTACTTTGAGGGGAATAAGTTCTTAATTTAAAAAAAAATAGAGCCGGGCATTGGTGGTACATGACTTTAATCCAGCACTCAGACTCAGGAGGCAGAGGTAGGTGGTGGATCTATGTGACTTCAAGGCCAGCCTGGTCTACAGAGTGAGTTCTAGGACAGGCTCCAGAGCTACACAGAGAAACCCTGTCTCCAAAAAAAATTAGACCTCTCACTTGACAATAATGTACATTTAAGCCTCTTGCAAATGTTTTGTCTTTCTACCAAGGATAGTTCTGTTTTAATTTGTAGATAGTTCACTTACATGCAACTACTGAAAATATGCAGCGCCTCCTACATTGGATTCAGTGTGTTGCAGTAGGAGAGGGGTGTCTAAAAAGTGAGCGCTACATCTGTTGTATATTGGAGCCGCAGGTGTTTTCACCTTGCCGTGTGCACCCTCGCCGAGCACCCTGCCGGGTTGCTGTTGGGTTGACACCCAGTCTTGAGCAGCATCACTAGTTCCTGTTGTCCGGTGAGGGCAGATTGCTTACTTCTGACTTCTCCCTGAGAGATGCTGGAGGCATCACAGATGAAGAAGGGGGGGGCAGCAATTTGCCAATGAGCATTTGGATTAGGGGGAAAACGCATGTGGCAAATTCAGTGACGGTTGGAAGTTTCCGGACATTAAGTTGGAGAACTCCCAGGGACTGACACCCAGAAAGAGGACTCCTTCATTTACTACGTGCACTGCTATCCGTTGTCCCTGTCTTGTTAGGCCATCCTTCCTCATAATCATGTCCATAGTCTCTCCAGCTCCTAAAGTTCTTGATCTCTACCACATTCGTGGGGCACTAGTCAACTTCCTTCAAAACTTAAGTTCCTCTAGACAACACAAGAAACACAGTGTGCAGTGGCAAGGAGGGGGGGGGGGTGTTGGTGGTCCATGTGACCAGCTGCAAGACAGTCTCTGGCTCAGCTGCAGCTGCAGAAATTGGTTGTGTTTTCCCACCATCCCTAGGAGTCCCCCACCCACCCACCCCTACCCAAATGAGCCTATTATGATGGAAACGACAAGGGTTAGCATGGTTACCTGAGAAGCTTTTGAGAAGCCGGTGGCATTTCGCTATAGCATTTATTTGCACCTGGCAAGGCCCTGTGTCTTTCAAGTCTGCTGACTTAATGACCTGGTGTCTCACCAAATGTCAGGAGTGTCACCTAAGGAGAGGCATGCTTCACAAGGAATTTAACTTTGGCAATACTAAGGTTTGAGAAGAAGTTTAATATTTTGGTGTGTTACGAGGAACAAGTTTCCAGAGTATGAATTTTTTTTTTAATCACTTGGTTTACATCCTGCTTTCTAGAATATTCTTTGCATTTGGTGCTTAGCATCCAGTTGGCAAAGCATCACAGGGAAACCTTTGGGGTTTGCTTAAAGCTCCCTCCCCTCCGTGCAGGGGTGTTGTGGGAGGAGTTTGTGGAGTGCTCAGAGCATCTCTTCAGCTTTGCTCTGAAGCTACTGGCATTTCCCTTGCCTTTCTGAGGGTCAGACATGATGTGAAGGGGGAACATAAGAACAAAGAGCCAGGGAAGAGAGGGGATCTGTCACACCTGTAGAGCCACAGAACCCAGGCATCCCTGTGTACACCACACTCTCATCGGTCTTTCCCATGCATGCATGGAAGTGGAAACTGCTGGAATCGCATCGAGGGTGTAAGCCAGCCGCCTCTCACTAACCTGCCTCAGCCATGAGTGTTGCGAACAGTAGGCCTGGGGTTACACAAGACTTGAGACTCAGCTTTGTGGGATTCCAGGTTGGGTGAAGCTGTGTTAGTTGAAAGCATGAAGCTACTTTTAAAGTCCCTCTCAGGGCAGAGACTCAAGTGTTAACAGTTGCATATCTGTCTAGAGAGGAATGGAATGTTCTCCCCCAGTCTTCAGTGTAGTTTTAGGAGTCCAGGAGAGGGGCCCAAAGGCTTAGAGAGCTCATTCTCTTTTCTACAGAGCTGGCCCAATAGCTTTCACTTTTGCCGACTGGACCCAAAGCATTATAAGGGTCTGCTCAAGACATCCCTGTCACCTGGTCAAACTGTTCTCATTTCTTAGACACACCCCCACGCCCACCCTTCTGCCTCCCAGATAGAATCTAGGACCTCGGGCATACTAAGTAACACATGCTCTTACCACTGAGCTACGTTCCCAGCACACTGCCCACATACACCTTACACTTTTTTTTTATTATTCAAATTTTTTAGTAAATTGTCAAGGCTGGCCCTGCACTTTGGACCCTCCTGCTGGGAGGAGTACAGGCCTGACTTGGAGAATTTCCTTGGTGTTGCTGTGAAGGCAGAAGACTAAAGATGAAAGCAAAACGGAACATGCTGGATCTCTTGAAGAATGTGGCTCCAGGCTTACATTCAAGCCCCTAAAAAATCTCTTACCAATTCTTCTTGTTGGCACCCAGTTACAAAAATTCACCCCAGCAGCATGTTCACTATAGGAGACATTTAAGATTCCCCCATGCAGCCCACACTATGCGTGAATTCCTTATATACCCCGTTTCCCCTAGGCTGAGACTTAGAAAGTAACTGGTCTAGCACACTATTGAACTGAAATGTGAGTGTTGTCCTCAGATAGTGAGAGCCAGACTCCTCATGTTCCCATGCAGACTGAGCATCTGTGTTTATATGGGCAGCCACTGTGGAAGGATTGGGCAGGGGACTCGTTACGATCACCTCTCAGATGTCACTCCTGGTGAGGGAGGATTACTGAGGAGCAGAGGACTTCCTGCGTGAAAGAAACAGCGTGGCTGCCCAGGTATCCTGAGGCAGTCTGCCATCTTGTATGGACAAGACTACCCCATGAGCTTCAGGAAGTCTGGACCTTGCTTTTCTAAGTCACCCAGGAAGACGTAGCAGGAGGAGTGGGGACTAGGAAGACTGGAAGAGCCTGTGGCACAGGGGAGGAGAGCCTCCAGACGGTTAAGCAGATTTCAGTTGTTAGAGAAAGAACAGCTATTTTCCACTTTCTCAGATACGAAAAGGTGTGAGACCATAGGCACACCCTAGCTGGACTCTGACACCGCTTACTGCAGAAAAGTCAGCCTGACATCAATACTCATTAGACCCTAGCTCACCAATAACAGAGCATTCCAGTTTTCTCTAGATTTTCTTTTAAAACCATTCTCCAGGGCCGGGCGGTGGTGGTGCACACCTTTAATCCCAGCACTTAGGAGAGAGAGACAGGCTGATCTCTGTGGGTCTGAAGCCAGCCTGATCTACAGAGTGAGTTCCAGGACAGGCTCCAAAGCCATAGGCAAACCGTGCCTTGAAAAACTAAAACAAACAACACACATACATACACACACCAAAACCATTCTTCAGGAATGGGTAATTTCTGAATATTGACTGAACAGAGCGAGCCCCCAAACTGCTGATCTCAGAGGCAAAGGGAATCACAGAAGAAACTGTCACATTACGACGATGACAGCTTGTTTATACCTCGGTACTTTGCAAAGTATTTCAAAGACCAGATGTGACCATCATCCTGTCCATCAGGAAACACAGATGCAGAAGGCAGGGATTGTGCTCTTTGGTACTGAGCAGGCTGGAATGGAAGCCCCCCACCCCAGTGCTTAACCCCCCCCCCCCCCCCCCGCTCCTTTGTGCACCTCGCTCCTGCAGCCGGCCTCCAACGAGCTCAGTAACCAGGGCTCTTCACGGGACTTCAGGGACAGAAGATAAAGCCAACAACAGTGGTTATCATAATAGCTTAATAGCTTCATGGATACAAAGAACAAACCATGAAAAAACAAAGATCCTTGTCATGTTCTA